GGGTGGGGGGTGGGGGTGTGGGGTGGCGGGGTGCAGAGGGATGAGAAGGCCAGCAGGTGGAAAGATTTCCCTTGGGTCCATGGGGAGCGTGCGCAAGTCATGAAGAGCGTTTGTGTCATGAGTGACTTGTCAGAGATGAAGATAAAAGAGGGAGAGAAGGTTAAAGAGGGGGAGGGAGGGTGATGGAGAAAGATCAGGCCACATAAGATGATGAACATTAGATGCCACAACAAACGCCTTTAAAGCTTCTCACTGCCATTATTTCTGCACGCAGCCAGTGTGGCTGTGGGATCTTTCCATTTAGGTAAATAACAAATTCTGAGAGGATTATTTCTCCACTTTTACCAAAGAGGTCTTAAACTGCACTTCAGTGAATAAACAGTGGGACAACAGGCTGTTTAATGGAACTGACACAGGTCTAATTCAGTCACTGAACGACAGTGGCTAATTCATCATTTTGGTATCAGTTCAAATCTCCTGCTGCCAAACAAAACTCCAACAGGAGGCAAACAGCAAGAACAACAGGTTTTGCCAAAGTTTGCGTAGCCTGCGCTCAGTGTCTTTCCACTTACCTCGAGTTTCTCAATGCGGTCCTTCAGGTCCATGATGGCCCTGGCCAGCTCCTCCACAGCCCTCGCCGTCTGCAGCTGCGCCGCGGCGGAAGAGCTGACATCATCCCCGGCCATGACGCGGCGGTTGCCGCTCCAGACCCCGATGCTCCGCTCCGGGACGCTCCTCTCGTCCTCCAGGCCACTCTCACACTCGCTCAGCTTCCCCGTCAGCTCCCGGATGGTCCTCTGGTCCATGAGGATCTGGTCGTTCTGCTGCAGGACCATCTGCCGGAGCTCCTCCGCGGTGGTCCGGAGATAAGTCCAGTCCTCATCACCGGTTCCGTACAGCGGCTCATCCGCCTGCTGCTGCTGCTGCTGCTGCTGCTGCTGCTGCTGCTGCTGCTGCTGCTGCTGCTCCCGCCGTTGCCTCAGATCTTTCGTCTTGCATTCTCCGACCGGTACAGGTGTGCAGATCAGCCGGCTGAAACTGAACTGTTTCGCGGACCCCCCTCCAGTCTCCTCCCCGAGGTTGAGTTCGTTCAGAGTGGGAACTTCCAGTCCGATGCCTCCGAGCCCGTTTCCTCCATCGTAGGACTCGGCGCCGTGGAGGGCACCCAGCGGCCCGGCGTGTGCCACCGACCCGTGCTCCAGGGGCTGGAGCAGCGTCTCCGATGTCAGGGTGCCGTTGTCGCTGAGAGGCGCGGCGCGTTTCCGGGGATAAACACTGGCGATGATGCAGATGACCGCGCCGAGGAAGGCCAGAGTGCCCGCTCCCACAAGCACCACCACGAACTTCATTATGACTGTGGGGAGCGACGCAGAAGATTAGGCTTCAGAGAAAAGGCTGACATGCACGCAGCTCTGTTTCCGATCCTGAAAGAGGCTACGGAGAGCAGCACCCGCACAGCAGCCTGCATCACACGAACATAACCGCGACCTTTAATTCGATTAACTAAAGTAGTCTGACATCTCCGATTAACAACAGAGCGGTTACCTGTAAAAGAATGGGGGCACTTACATAGAGGAGATGTTTCCCAGAGGCGCTGCTGTTTTCCCCTTACCGCCCTCTGCGCGTAATATCGGTGGCACCTCGCTGTCTGGACCAGAGATGCTCCCTCTCCGTCTCCGTGTTGCTAAGCTGCTCTTCTCCGTGCGTTACCATGGGGACCGCGGGAGAGGAGGAGCGAGGCTGTAGGCATGCGTCAGTCAGAGCAGAGGTGAGCCTCCAGCAGCAGCGTGAGCAACCGAGGCTGATGGATCAGAGTGTGTGTGTGTGTGTGTGTGTGTGTGTGTGTGTGTGTGTGTGTGTGTGTGTGTAAAAGACTAAAAAAGAACAGAGAAGGTCACTGAGAAGTAAAAGTAAGGAAGCAGTTTCTACGTGGTTTGACTTGATTCTTAAATTGTCTTTAAATTGTCTCCTCGTGGTTGTACATCTCTGCCAACAGGAAATATGGTCACAATCTCTGAATTTGAAGAAATTCCCTCGAGGCGTTACTGAGATGTCACGTCCACGGCCATGGGAGGGATGGACAGACGGCCAACCAGAAAACATGTCCCTGGCTCTGGCTGTGCCCAGCGTGGAGGGAAAATAAAGTTGTTTTGACACTTTCACTTTCAGTTTTTTCAGTCTTGATTAAATCTATCACAAAACATCCACTCACAGGTAAATAAATAGACTTAAAATGAAAATAAAAAACTCAAATTAAGAAGAAACGGGCCACCAACTCCCACAGTGCACACCCTCACTCATTTCACTCATACACCTTTACATGCGCAATACACACACACACACACATCTGCAACAACACAATTAGCCTACTTGGTACTGAAAGTGCTCTGAAAGTGTCAATCATACAATATGTGAAGTCTGCATGTGTTCACAGAGGTGACAATAACACGTTTGATGTTTTAAAAAAAAAAAAAAAAAAAAAGTTCACTGCCAATTTACAGAGAGGAAAGAAAACAAGAGCCTGTAGAACCGAGGCAGAAGAAGAGAACAGAAAGATCCAGGGTCTTAAACACTAAGGTTTGTGGACTGAGTAGGAGGAGATGAAGAATGTGTTTTTCCCCCAAGAGGCAGTGCTAACTAAAATTTCCAGCACTGCTGCCAACAGATATGATCTGACCCTGACACAGCAAACAAACATTCGCTCTCAAAAGTTTTTCTTTCCATGCTGGATAGACCATTTTTAGAGGGTTTGCTCTTGACATTAGTCCAGATTAAATAAAATTCTCTGGTTTGCTGTACCTATGGGAAATGATCTACTGCCAGTCAGGGAAGTGAATCTGCCAATTAGCACAACATGAAAGGAAAAACTGAACCTCGGACACACGACCTTAGATACAAGTCTGTGATTCTTCATTTGTTCCAGCAGTTGCTTTGTGATGAAATGCCAAAATTAACTTTGTTTGTTCGTGAACACACTTTCCTTTGACCCGCCCATACTTCACTTTGTACATTTTCCAAAATACCTGGCAACAACAACTGAGCGACAACAATAAACCAGAAGCCGTTCGGGCTGAACAAAACAAAACAAAACAAAACAAAACAAAAGAAGTTAAGAGTCTACTGCCGAGCTAGCAGCTCTCTGATGCTGTATTTAGGCACAGCGATGCTCTGAGCTAAATGCTAATGTTAGCATGCAGCAGTGTATTCAGAGAGTATACAGATTTTCACATTTGGTTATTTTGCAGCCTAATGCTTAAACTAGAATTACCGCCTTTCACTTGTCTGCCCGACGCCACTCAGACAAAGTGCGGAGTCATATAAACCAACATTTCCTCCCCTCATCAAGCTAAAGTCACCGACAAAGCAAAAATAGAATTTTATAAATTGTTTCGCAAATTTATTAAAAAGGAAAAACTGAAATATCACAGTATTCAGACACTTGGAATTTGGTTCAGGTTCCTTCCATTTCTTTTGATCTTCTTTGAGATGTTTCAACACCGTGATTGGAGTCCATCTGTGGTCATATGATTTAGAAAAAAGGCACACGCCTCTCTATATCAGGTCTCACAGCTGACGATGCATAGCAGAGCAAAAACCATGAGACGGAAGGAGCGGCCCGTAGAGCTCGGGAACAGGATTGTGTCGAGGCTCATATCAGAGGAAGGCTACAAATCAAATTTCTGCAGCATTAAAGGTTCGCAGGAGCACAGTGACCTCCACGGTTCTTCAATGGAAGAAGTTTGGAACAACCAGGACTCTACCTACAGCTGCAACTGCAAAAAATATCCAAATTAACAAATTCAAGTGGAAATGGTTTGCTGGACTTCATATACTCGTGAACTGAAAGAGAGTGACTTGTATGTATGTGTGTGTGTGTGTGTGTGTGTGTGTGTGTTTGCATGTGTGATGCTTTCTAGTCTGTACTGTTTGTGATCAATGAAAGAACCTTGGGATTGATGCGCTGCTGTTTTTAGATTCTTTCTTCTCCACTCTGGTCCCCTCGTCTCGATTTGTCTTGAACGGGCTCCTGTAAAGACAGAAGAAAGACAAACAATCACTTTGATGATCACTCCACATGTGGATGATCCAGTCATTCATTGACTTTACACTTCAAATGCAGTTTGAAGTCAAAGGAAATATTGATTTTTATTAAATTGATTTTTCACCAACTGTTATGATCATATCTGCACATTACAAGCATTGGTGGAAAAAATACAGTCAAGACTGGAAGTATTTGGACTGTTAGACATTTTTTGATCCTGATCAGTCTAAAATAAAATAATAAATTTAAGTGCCAAATCTCAGCTTTGATTTGAGCAGGTTTACAGCAATATAGAAAGAACTATGTGGGAGATGTAGGCCTTTAAACGCACAGCGCCAAAATTTCAGTGGGTAAAATGCGATTGGACTCTTGCCTACTTAATGTTTACGAATAGATCGAAAGAACGACTCTGAGTATTTACACTTCAAGTCCCTCCTCTGCATGAGTTCCAGAGTTGCTCCCAGTCCTGGTGGATAACTGATGTTGAGGCAGTGGCATGTTGCAAACATCAGTACAAGGACATCACCAAAATTGGGAACACTGCCATTCACGATGGTCTGGTCCACTGGAATCATAAAGAGTCCCAACTGTCGGGGGAGGACTGCCTACGGTAAACACATTTACAGTGAAAAAAACAAAACAAACAGTAACATCACGACTGTCAAAAACCACAACGAGGAACTACTGGAAAAAAATATTCCACCATTATTTGGCACGACAAGAAAACTCATATTCAAGTTTTACCTCAACTTAATTTTCCACTCAATTTGTTAAAAATACACTTAATGAACTTTTCAAAATTGCACTTTATTTCTTGCAGATTCTTCAGTTATTTATTTTTTCCGACAGTCACATGGTAAGTTTTGCAATCTGTCTGCACAAAGATGCATGGTGTGCTTGGAAGTTGATCGACTTCAAATGCCAAACCGTAAGGAACATATAACCTTCAATAACAACATAAGACACCTGGGAAGATCAGCATCTAGATGATTCACTTTGAGGATTTCCATGCACTCTGTGTATACTGTATGTATACTTCCATGTGTACTAGGAACTTCCATATTCTGTTCTTCCTATGGGACATGAGGTATGAACCGACTTGTCCACATTTGACACATAGTCTCTGTCAACATCCACACCCTGAGCCATTCAATCAGGTAACAGACTTCCTGGAACAGTGCAATTGCGTTTGTGTGCTGGGTTTATTTTCTAATTCTAATGTCTAATACAGGACGTCAGCTCATAAATATCAAATTCGGGTTTCAGAGGGGAAAACAAGTTGTTGTTGACATGGCTACAAACATTTCAAGCAATGACAGTCGACAAAGCCTTTTGTTTTCATACAGCACGCATTTAATCGTTTTTTGACAGTTTGCCAAATTGAGTGCAGTGCACACATTCTGCCCTTCACTTTATTTTTTACTTTCTTTAATTATGTTTTACCTTCTTTTTGCACAGATCCTGCCATACCTCCCCTGGTTAATTAAAGTTTGCTACGCAGGTAAAATGGCACCTTATACTGTGGCAGACAGGAAGTGGAAGAGCCCAACTGGTTGGCCAAGAGGGGAGTCTGCCTTTCGGGATCCATTTAAATTCAATTATTTGGGATGGTACATTTTGTCTTTTTGGGTAGGTTTGACAGTTAGTTAGTTTGTTAATAGTTTATTTATTTAAATGTCTGTTAATATTAAGGTTAATTTGTGATGTATAGTTAATTGTTTGTTCCTGCCCCCCTTTGTGTCTGTGTGGACTAGCCTTTGTGTATATAAACCTCCCTCTGGATTATTTGTTAGGTCCTTTATGTTCAGTTTGCTGTTTGTCCAGTTTTTTAATTATTATATAATTACATTTAGTAAATAAATGAATATTTTTACTTGCAATAAATTACAAAATAATACTAATAAAATGAAGTCAAACTTATTGGAAGCTTTTATTTACATATCATTTGTTTATGTTTGTGTAACATTTTTTTTATTGTTAATTAATTATGATGATTTTATGAACTATTCACAAAGTCAGTTCAACATTTCATCATGTGGTTAGTTGACTTAGGTATGTAAACTTGCCACCATGGAGGCAGTGGTCACAAAACTTTAGGAAATTAGAAAGTTATGCATCATAGTTGAACTCTACTTAAACAAATAGCACTAAAATGTGAGTGTAAACATAAATAAACCGTTTGAATCACTACAATTAAAGAATCAACAAAAGGTGTGTTTTCCATTCACATGTCAAAAATTAGTGAACACATCGCACATCTCCAACATTATCAAGGGCTGAAACACGACTCCAGTCAGGCCCCCCTGCAGTGAACATTAGCCCCGATTTTGGATTAATCTCAAGAGGTGGCTGATGTTGCACGCATATATACTGACAGTGATACACACACACACACACACACACACACACAGAGATGTGGGTCACTAGTAAAAAACCACTATGACTATTTTAGTTCCATCTGGCTCGTAAGCCCAGTGGTTTCATGCCAGGGAGGGAATAGAGAAGACACACAAACAGAGGGAGCACAGGGAAGAGTGAAGAGACCTTTGTACCACCTCTCACTTTCAGTCCCTCTCCATTGTACATCCATTATAAACAGTAGCCAAGTAAAATGAAACACTGCCTATGGAAACGGATAAAGCTGTTTGAACTATACGTATGTATTCATCACAACAGCAAAACACTCAGAGATGAATACCCAGGCGTGATGACCTTAATATCACCCCAGCCCTCACAATTCCTCTGTGAACACACAGAGCTCAGCTCTGCGATGCTGTTGTTAAAGCGGCTCAACAGCACCTCACTGTGGGACATCTGGAAACTACAGCAAGAGTATTACAGTTAATAGATGGAGAAATATAAGAGGAGGGCCTGTTGTTATACAGTTTTCAGTTTAGTTCTTCCTTTTTGGACTACATCTACTTTTTAAATATATTTTTACATGTAGGGAGCAGCTTACCAAGAAAAAAAACATGTCAAATTTAGACACCTTTTATGAGAATCATGCATGACACATGTATATCGGTTGTGTGAGCCTGTTTTTGGCAGAAATGAAAAGCAGGGATTGTTGTACCATGCATTCAAATTTTTCACACTTTCAGAAGATAAGGTTGCTTCCTGCAGTTTTGAAGCTGTATAACACTTGTCCCCTCCATTTTTCCAAATCCAAACAGAAACAGTTTAACTCATAGATTTTCAGTATCCTGTCTCTATATATATATATATATATATATAAATATAAGTGGTGTACCCCACCCCTGAGCCCTACATTCAAGTCTACTTAGAGACTTTAAAGGAGCTATTTGTAAGTTTTCTCTGTCACCAAATGTTGTTTCTTGCCAGGAACAGGTGGCGGTGATTGTCACTTGACTAGAGCTTCGGCCATTGTTGTGTTTACAAGACAAGAGGTTATAATACGTCCTCTGAGCAGCACTACATCTTCAGGGCAGATTGGAGGCTACAGTGAGTCACTATTGGAAAGTCTTGAGACGGGCTAGCTGGTTAGCGTGCTAACTTCAGTAGAAGAAAAGATGTGATCAAGCCAAGAGTTTACACTGTTGTAGCTTTCCAACGCTGGATGCAGCTCTCCTACACTGGTAAGTAAACAGCTGTTAATGCTAACGTTAAGCTCCTTTAAATAACACGAGACACCAGCTGAAAAAGCAAAAGAAAGCAAACTGCTTTTTAAAGAGCTTTTAATTAAAAGCCTTGTACAAGAAACACACAGAAAGCAACAACAGTAACAGTTAACATGACACTGAATACATAATCTGTACAATAAGGGTTTGCAAAACATGCTTCAGAAGATCAGATACATTACAATGTCATCATTAACCTCCAGCTCCTTGTCATTACCATCAATACAATGTACATAATTCATATTAGCATAAAACCAGACAAAACTGCAGTATTGATACATTAAAATCTGTTTGCCTTCTGATCAAACCCATATTGAACTATTAAAAATGGCATTCAAATAAACAGCATCACATTAACATTATAATGCATATTTTAAAAAAACTATTAAAGTACAGTACAAAGGAAAAAAAAAAAAAGCTTAAAAAGCACAATTTTCAATTCATTAAGTATCTTTATCCATACATTTAAACAAGGATCCTTCCTTTTTTCCAATTAGTGCCAAATAAATCTAGCACTTCAAATAACATCACATATAAATGTAAAACAATTCAAAAGGGGAAAAAAAGCTTTTAAAAAAAATCAAATAATAAAATCAAGAGCCCTATTTGGTTGAAAGATAGGCCACTAAGTTGAGTTGTGCTACCCCATATGAGAAAGTAAAAGAAGGAAAACATTGCTATCAACAGTTGGAAACGTCACCTAGCAGCCTAATACCTTACACATCTACCAACTGCTAGAGTCACTTCTATCCACCACTTAAAGATATTAAAGATATAGTAGATGAAAAAATCTATTCCAAATCACGATATATCCATTTGGAGAAGAAAATAATCCTTTATTTCGTCATTTTTTCTGGAAAATATAGAGGACTCGGTCCATTCACACTTTGTCAAATCAGGATTTAAGTTAAGTACTGTCCTTTTAACCTAATTTAAATTTGAGCTATAATCCATTTCATGATAGTGTTTGACACTTTTTCTTCTCTATAATGGATGTGTCATTTTGGAATAAATCTTTCCACATGTAACCTATGAGAGTATTGAAAGAGTACTGACAACAACTAGAACCATCCAGTACATGACAGGAGAGGAGGCGACATCTTCCTCGTCAGTGTGTAACAGAGACATGGAGAAAGACGACAACAGGAACTGTTATTACAGCTTGTGATAAAGTAACCATGCTAAAGTCATGGTTTAAGTTAGTTGTTTTGTTTTTTTTTTAAGTTATTATTATTATCATGCTCTGTGTAACAGGAGCCGAGTAAGACGAGGTAAACGTCGCCTGGAGTGTATCTGGGGTTGGATGGAGCAGATATAAGGCAACACATGCGGAAGATTTTTTTTGAATATTGCAACACACAGTTACACCAGAGTAAGAGCCAAGGTCTGGGAAGGTCTGGAAAAGGTGGGCAGCACCAGAGGAGAGTTTGTAGCCTGTGTATAAAGGGCTACGTTTCTTTCGAAGTACTTCAGATCTCTCGATGGTCAAAATTTCTGATTGCTTTCATGATTTCAGGCTTTTAGCTTGAAGCAGCCTGCAATGAATGAGCTGAGCAGAGGGTCGTGGTCAAGAACACATGGGCGATGGATTAAACCTTCGGAGATTAAGCTTTTATCCTAACCACCAGGCTGCCTGACACGCTTTGACTGTTACATGATGCCACTGAAAGAGAGCACACCTGATGTATTTGGAGTGAACACCTGTGCCAACTTTGCTTCTTCTCGGGTCAGAAAACTTCAGGCCCCTAGTCGAAAGTAGATCCTTGCCTTGGTAAAAAAGTAAGCGCAGCAAGGCAGGAAACAAAATAATTATAACTAGGAAAGTATAAATGACGTGTCTGATCAATTGTAACCTGGTTAAGTGGCTGGAAAAATAAATGAAAGATAAATTTATCAGCCACAGACAAAAAGACAATTTGTCTTGAGGCGATTTCCTAATAGAGAAACCAGCAGGAAGAGAGGATGTTGGATGATGCATGTTAGTGCATCCTTAGGTTTCATTACTCATCATTCCACTACATGTGCTCAAGACTTCAGCAGAAAAGATGCTACAAAAACAGGAGCCCATAACAAGGTTGTCTGGTTCAGGGACGGTCTTGCTACTCTCATCCTTCATGCAACACGAGTTTGTACAAAAATATCAACTAAAACAGGAGCAGCGGGGGAACCTCGGCAAACATCAACCACCAACTGTGCAACATAAGCATGACCAAACCTTGGATACTTTTGATGTGGAAAGTACTCGAGTGTAACTAGAGAAAAGAGCAGACATTCTTGAATATAAGTGGTGTTAGGTCCTTTGTTAATTTGTTTGGAAAATGTTACCGTTCACGGAAGCTTTTAGATGGATGACGACAGATTTTTATCAAAATGTTTCCCTAAATTTGAACTTAGTTTCACCAATACAAAATTCTCAAATGCATTTGTGTGTTTATGATATATCAAAAAATCAACGGGCACAGTAACCCATTTCCAGCACCTCGCCTGACAGTTATTGAATTAGCTGACAGAAAAAAAAGGACAACAACCTTTGTCCTCAAATTACTGGCAAAGTCTCGGCCTGGTTCAGCTTCTCCAGCCCTGTAAGTCGCAGGACACTGTGAACCATGCTACATGAACCATTTCTATTGAAACTAGCACTTGAGAACATACAAATAAAGCACTGTTAGCACAACATCCAAAGGAACAAAGCAAGGTGGAAAACTATTTGCTCTACCTGCCAGTTTGGAAGGTAAACAGACAAACTTGCCAGTCTCTACTGGTTTTTCCAAGCAAAAACCACCTGGATACATGTTCCACAGACCTCAAACACCTACCAAGTAGATCACCGGTTCAACAAACTACTACTTTAGCTGCATTTGGTTGGTGGCTTCAGCCTGAACTGTGTTCAGCTCATGGACCTTCTAGACCTTGACAAGTTGAGAAGTTATATAAATCTGGCATTAAGAGAAAATTTCACAACTGCAGGCCAGTTTAGAGTCTTGGTGGACGTCACAGAGTCGAAGAAGGTGGTGGGGTTGTGAGAAAACAAGGCAAGCAGGGAAAGATGGCAAGGACAGCAATAACTTAAAAACTATTGTTTTTGTATATTATTTTGCAGCTTTTAAGGTTGTGCGTGCATATAAATACTTACTCATACTGTATGTATATGCATGTGCGTTCAAGAGAGCAAGAGGAAAAGGCCTTGAAAAATTGATGAACTACATAGAATAGGTCATTTTTCGATGCAGTCAAGTGCATTGCATTTACCTCGCTGTATTGATGCAATATATGAGAGTCCAACTGTGTTAAGTGCAAAAACACACCACCTCATTTATCATTAACAAGCTGGACTTCCAATGAGACTAAGGGGGCAAGAAAATTGGCATTACACCTGAAGGCTGTCCAAAGCAGCCGTCGCAGCAGAGCATGTATCTAAAACAGCGTGTGTTTCTTTCACATGCACCAAGTGTGCTTGAAAAATACCCACCCTACACACCAGATGGACAAGGGTTTCTATCTGTGTCACACCAAACAAGCTAAACTCTACATGTCTGGAGTGAAAGAAAACAAACACAGTTTCAATCCAAGTCTGCTTCAAAGAGTCAGTGCTGTGCAAGAGGACAAAATATGGCAATTTAAGTGACAACAAGGGCATATTAGAATTTATACATTTTCTTTTTTAAAAAAAATATGCTCTTTTTGTTTTTACTATTCAATGGCTGGGTGGTGTAAAGTTACATTACATTTCATTAACCTTACACAAATGTGGACAAACCTTTAAGGAAAAGGTGGGAGGGGGTTGAAGTGGCAACACTGGCATGATATTTTTCTATCATTAATGGCAATCGACTTCATAATATCTGATCTCCTATGGCTTGGCTGGGGAGGGGTCGTCGGAGGTGGAGGCGGGGGGAGGGGAAGAGGCATTTTCGGGGCTGGAGGAGGGCGAGGCAGGGCAGGAGGCAGGGGAGGGGAACTCTTTTATGGTGACGGTGCCGAGGTTGGTGGTGACATCAGTGACCACCACATCCTTGCAACTTGGCGCCATTTCAGGGTGCCAGTCAGGGTCTCCTTCAGCAGGCACCCTTTGGGGTTCGGTGGGGGCAGAGCTCTGGTCCCCGGGGGCAACAGAGGGGAGAGTGGTGGGCGGCTGGCGTTTAGCCCTGCGTTGGCGAAGATTTTTCCTGCCTCCCTCTGAGGGCACTGAACGGTCCACGGCACCCTCCTCCTCCTCGTCTTCCAAGGAAGAAGACGGTGAGGAAGGGAGGAAGGGAGATGCTGAAACCACCGGGTTTGCATCTGAGGACGGGGCAGGAGTAGCATTCTTGGCGCTCTGGCCCTTCTGGGTCTCTGCGTGAGGTTTACTGGGCTTGGGACCCTCGCTGGAAGGTGAGGCTCCAGTGGCAGGCTTGGACTGTGCAGCCGAGGCGGTGGGAGATTTTCCTTCAGAGCCGCTGGAGGAGGCAGGAGAGGGAGGTGACTGGTACTGAGAGGGGGTGGTGTTGCTGTCCCTGGCCCCTGTGCTGGAGCATGACCCTGTGTGCGGGTGGAAAGGCACAGGGCCTCCACACTGTAACCCAAACGGCTTCCCGTACATCGGGAACCCCAGCATCTTCAGAGGAGGCTGAAAAGGTCTATAAGGGGCCTCTCCCTTTTTCCCAATGATGCGATTGCGAGAAGGGATGTTTTGGCGTCCTGTTGTAATATTCCTACTGCCTGCAGCTGTGCCACCTCTACCTGGCTTATCAATGACCTTTAGGTTGAGGATGATCCGACCTCTCTTGACCTCTCGGGGTTTGACTCTACGGTTGAGGATACGGACGGTCTCGGAGAAGGGGGAGACATGCATGCGGGAAGGGAAACCACCAGGGTTGGAGAAAGTAGGTGCCATGGGGTCTGAACGGGGCAGTGGACGCCTGGACATCCGGTGGCAACGGTGAATGTCCTTCTTCAGCTTGTGTGTGGCTGCGAGGGAGTTGAGTTTAGGAGAGGGGGCCACAGTTGAGGAAGAGGAGGACGAAGATGGTAAATGATGAGGTGAGGCAGAAGAGGAGGGCGCTGCTCGGCTGGAAGTGGACAAAGAGGAGCGCGATGTAGTCTGACGGGTGCTGGTGGCTTGGCGGCTGGGCTCTCTTTTCTGAGAACGTGCCTGAAACAAACAATACATTTAAGAAAACATTGTGAGGGAGTGAGCTTTACTTTTATTGAGCAAGGAACTGCTAGTTTGAGCAATTTGACAGCATAATACCCACTTTGTTTCCAATATTAGCCCAGGAAACATTTTGTGATTTGTAGGACAAAGGACATAGTTTCTCAGTTAAAATTGGCCTAAAGTCACTGTTTTTGAGATGTCCAGGTCCAGATGCCTCAAAATGCTGTTGGGACAATAGTGTTATGTCACGGCTAAAATATAAATAATAAAATATATAAATAATAATAAAACACTTTCCAACCAAATTTAGCCAAAATTTAACAGTCTTCATTTTAATGCGGCCTTTAGTCTGAAATCCACAAAAATCAATGCTTACTGAGAGTAATAAGCAGTTCAGCAACACAGCTATTGCTTGACCATTTGTGATTAAAGTAACAACATCCAATGCACCATAACTTTCCACTGTTTGTAATTGTTGATGCTACTCTACACTCCCGTGCAGCTCAAACTACAGCTCTTATTGCAACTGATCACAAAAATATATGACATGTCATGACTGTGGCCAAACTCTTTTAAACTTCAGACTTGGCTTTAACCACTAACCGACTGTGTTGTTCCTACTCAACGCTGATTTGTAAAAATGAAAATGACAGTGTGAACAACAAAAGTAGCATGGGATAAACGCATCCCTGCAGCAATTTTCTTAGAGACAAGAGACACGAATGCGTGTTCCCAGCAGTGTTGACGGTGATGCATAGTACAAGCATTAAAATAAACTTCAAACAAGCAAGAAAAACTGCTGCAGGTGGGTTGACCTTATTCTTACTTTAACAGTAGAAACCACAAACAGAACTTTCCACACAAGGTGCTGCTACCTGAACAAAAGCACCTATTTGAGGGCAATTAGGTTAAATTGTTTCACATCTTAAATTACATTGTAATTTTGTAATTAAAAAAGTAAGAATCTGAAGCTCATATCCATGCAGTTATACAGACATCAAAACCTACCTTGATGACAAAGTTTTTGGGTTTTGGTCCTCGCTTCTTCGGCCCATGCAATTCCCTTTCCCGTTCCCTAAAAAATGGAAATGGCAGTTTACAAACTCACGATAAAATAGACAAATACAAGCTAAAAAAAGAATGAGACGACAGGAGCAAATATGAAACAAATCAAAAGAGAAGACTGATGAAAGTCGTGGTTGTGTGAAAGTAGAGCAGTCAGGCACAGAGCATTCGTTTCTGGGTCTTCACGTCAATTTTAGTTTCCACTTGGTGTGTCATTCTTTTCTCTTTTATGGTGTCCATTTTAGCTTCCTGTCCATTTTAGTTTACTGTAAACATCTAGTCTCAGCAGAGCAGCACAAGTGGCTTGGCAGCAGATATAAAGGACTTAAGCTCAGATGGACGTTTTACAATCAGAGAGAAGATGAGGAGGAATGTAAAGACACTAAGAGAGCAAGCACCATTACTTACAGTAAGATATATGAGTTAACTTAAGTAGGGAGATACAACAATGTCCAAACAGAAGACTAAGAACTGAAATTAACAAAATAGACAGGTCCGTACTATTTGAATTCGAAGCATAGCAGACAATGAGAAACTGTAAGTCCACACAACAATGTGCAAAATAAGAGTTATACTTTGCACATGATGTATGTACTCTCATCGTGTACCAGCTTTACTTACTTTTGCTCAAAGCCCAGTATCAGCCTGTCATCCAGAATATTCTCCTCTGGCTCCCAAGTGCTGTGTCTGAACAAGAATGGAGCAATGTGAAGAAAACACACAACGAAGGAAACATTTTACCACAAAAGAATTATTCTGCACCAAATGTGATAATTTTTTTTTAAAAGCATAACACAAACATCACTTTAAAAGATATTGTGGGTTGTGATAATTACATTAAATTCATCGACGAGAATAACACTTACTTCATTGCCCATCCTTTCCATTTTACCAGGTACTCAATTCTTCCCTGCAAGAAAATGGTGGATTAGCAAAAACAGCTCATATATGACAACAGGGAAAAATAAAGAATTTTAAAAAATCCCTTAAATCTGGAATTCATTTGCAGCATTGTCCTTTTCCCTGTTCAGTCTTGAGTCTTAAATTACTCTTACATATGGGAGTTGTTGTGTTTTCATTGTGTCTTTTACACATGACACAGGACAAAATCCTGCAATCCACAATGTCATTTTCAATTTATCCACGTTTTAGTCCTGGCGAGTCATTGTCAGGTTCCATATTAGTCTGGTAAACATCATATTTAAACTTAATCATATTTCAGAAAGAAAAAGCTCTTGTGGTAGTTGGTGATTTCTTCACATTTGATTGGGGATGCTTCACTGCTCTCTTCTGAATGAGAGCTCATCCTTGTTCTCAAAAGTTATAATCCCATACAATCTAAATAAAACCATAAACATTTTCACAAACTTTTTTTCCCCCACTTCAGACAGAGGTAAATTGAACTGCATGGTAAACATATCTGCATTTCGAAAAAGGATGAGTCACTCTTAAAAATTTGTATGAAGAGCTTATATTACACATAAATATGGTAGGCCTGTTTTGTGCAAGATCTGGGATTGCATGCATCTCATCAAGAAGTGGGACAGCTGTTAAATTCTAGCAGGCAATTCATTATTAACTGGAGGCCTGGTGGGCCTGCTGGTTAACTGTGCATACCAGTCACTTTAAGGTGGTATCCTACCATCATTTATAGGGTCTTTTCCAGTATACAAGCTATAGCAGACTGATAAAACACTGACATCAGTAGTCCTGCATCAGCTGGACTTTCTCTTAAACAGCACATAAGTGCAAGAACTAATGTTTTGGGGACCATCTTTCACAGCCTGCAGAAGAAAGCAACAGTTTCAATCAGTCTTCAACGTGGGTGCAGCATGCACCTCTTCCACAAGCTGTAAACTGAAGATTGTGACCGTATAGCTTTAGCTACCGTTAGCTGGCAGAGAAGTCAGGCCCCTCCATTTCATAGCACAACCCACATCCCATCCGCTGGGCTGCCTTGTTCTTTTGCAGCTAGCCCCTTCTTTGTGTCGCTGTTTTTATTGCCCTGCTAAAGCCTGAATACACCAGCCATGACTGGTAGCCCTGCTAGTTAGCTTAAAGCTAGTTGTGACTAGCAAAGTAAAGGCATCCACAAGGCCTCCATAGCATTGCATAGGCGCAGAAAGGCAGCCCCAAGCCTATGGAGTAGAGCAGTGCCGTACCGTGCTGACCGCGGCCAACATCTGCAGGCAGTCAAAAGACGCGGGACGGCGGCGATGTGGCTCACCTTACGAACGCGGCGTTTCAGTATGGCTTCTGCGGCGAAAATACGATCCCCCGCCGCCGAGAGCTCCATCTTTCATGCCCCAACTAAGCTACCTGTCTCTGTTTGCCTCTCTCCAGACGACAAGCTCTGCTGACTGCTCGGGCCGACCACAGCCAAACTGTGAGAGAGGCGGCAGACACACACACACTCTCTATCACTCACTCTCTCACTCATATACACACACACACATACACACACATACATACACACACACACATACGCGCGCGCGCGCGCGCTCACACACATACACACACCACTAAAGCAGCTAGCTTGCTGCCACGTGACTGGGGTCAGCCCCTCTGGTCGTCCTGGCAACGATGAAGACACTCACGAGGATGCAAAAAACCGCGTGCTGCTTTGAGCGCTCATCGCTTGGTGATGACAAGCGACGCCATGATAACTCCTCCCTAAACACATGAAAACTTACGATAAAATAATATCCTGTTGGACAAGTGTTAGCAGCAGCTAACAAAACAAATCTTTAACCTGTCCAGGGCAGTAGCCATGATTTTAAAAACACTGGGGGCATGAGTCAGGGGCACCATATGGGGGGTGGGAAGTTGGGACGACTCAGGGCCTGTAACTGAAATTGTTTTTTTTTTTGATTATTACTTTTAAATTTTGATAAATGTTTCACCGATCATCATTAATAGAATTTTTTATTTACAATGTACTAATAAAATAAATAAAAACAAAACCCATACAAAACACTGGGATGAATATGTACATAGAAAATTCTGAGTGTTTACATTTCATTCCTAAAGTTGTGAGGCAAATGGATTTCACGCAAGCGAGAATCCATCTTGCCAGGCTCCAACTTATTCGCTTGTGTCCAAACCACAGAGGATCAGACCAGTCAGCATCTTATGATGGAGGAACTACTGCAGCTATGGGCGTATCTAAGTGTGACACCAGTGAGAAGCGACTGTTTGTTTACAACAATGGAAATGTAAAAGGCAACCAAACACAGCTTCATCATTTTTATTTGCAGAATGAAGGTGTATTAGTTTCTAACAAGTGTAGCCCAGTTTGTTTTGGCACAGAAGAAGCAGAATCAAACTTTACGAACCTGAAGGCACAATCCACAAATATACAAAAAAATCCCACAAACATAAGATTAGAATCTGCACTCTCAAACTGATTGACTGGTCTTAACATAGAAAGAATTGTTATATCATAACCTGCTTTGAATTAATTAAAAATTCAGATGCTGCTGAAGGTTTATTACCACCAGCAATATTTGTAAACAGAATTGTGACGCTGATCAATACATAGCCTATAAAGAACTGGTCATATTTAAAATGTTACATTACAAGTATCTTAAAAATGAAATTACAGTGGTCAATTTATGAATTCATCTTGTCAACATTCTCAGAAAGATGAGAAGAAGAAGATGTGATGAGTATAGTTTTAGTAGTGAACTAATAATACAAATAATGTGAATAATTTTGAAACAGATAAATAAAATGTTTTATTTCCAGGCTTTTTAAGTTCTTTCCTCATGCTGGTGCCCTGTGTACTTAGTTTCACAATTCCCCTCACTGTTACACTGCTGGGATCAGATACTCTTCATTAAATCCACAATGATAAGGGTTATTGCTTAGTTTGTTAGAGATAAGATGAAATAAGATATCCTTCATTATCCCTGAGAGGAAATTTAACTTGCTCACCAGTGTGACACACAGCTGCAATCAACTTAAATACATTAGGTTGCTGACAAAACAGTACAGTGGTATAATAAAACACAATAATAAACTAGAAAATTCCTGGTGAAATTTTGAATGTGCCTGCTGCTTGGTGTGTGTCCATCACACACGTTTCAATCTCTACAGAGGACTTACTTTACTTTGAGTTTCATTCATGTTGTGGAGAATTATCCTAACTCTGACCTCAGTCACTGCTGGTATCCCTCAAAAAGCTCTTTGAAACTCTGGCCAAAGTGACCTCACAATGATGGTTTCAAACCTAAATTTGTCCCCACAACCATAGCAAGACATGTATCACACACATGTACATGCCCTATGGGAGCTTTGGACAGCCCTCTCTGCAAAAACCATAAAATATATCAGAATGTCACCAAACTGGGTAATACAGGACAAAAGATATCTACATTTTTGATATAAAAATTGTCAATGAAGGTTAGAAATTGTGGAATTTAAAAGAGTTTGATTTGAGGTTGATTTTTTTTAGGAAAACTTTCAGGGATGGCAGTTGTCCACTCTAGCGCTGAACATTCAGTGCAATACACGCTCATTATAAAATCTGAAACTAAAAATGACACAAAACGTAAAATGCGATTTTGTGAAAACTGTAATAGTTGTCAAAAATACTGATTCAATCACAAAGAGTCTCATATCCTGTGACCCGTTTAAGGTGTCAACCATTATTCTAAGTTTCTACGTTTCGCTTTTTTTATCGCCATTTACGTCACCATGGTTACTCGAATCGCTAGACGTACGTATTGACATATATATTGTCTGGATTTTCTCAAAAGCTGCAGGACAAGTTACGCCCCGAAATTTCGATTTCGAATAATTATGCAGAATAATTATATATGCCTCCATGCTATTGCATTGCAGGCACATAATAATAATATAACAAAATAAAAATGTATTGCATATAAGATAAAAGTTACAGGTTAATAAGTACACATTTTAAAAATGACAAGTGAAATAATAAAAACCAGAATTCATAATGCTTCGAACTAGAAAGGTCTCCCCTTTGCTCGTGGGTCTTTCTAATGTGACATACATCTATGAGAAAACCCCAGCAGCTTCTATGTGACATGTCCCCTCTCCCATTTTGCCTAGCAGTCTCCTCCAGTCCTCGAGCTCTGATTGGACGAGCTCACGTCAATCATGATTTGTAGCAAGTTTGCTTGCAGTATCGCGGTTGTTGATGTAGCTGTCAGAAGTCAGCCAGCGCAGAGGACAGCTAGCAGGTAAGCATGGGGAGACATCGGCAGGCTGCCTTTAGGCTACGTAATGCGATTAGCTGCACTTGACAGGTAGAAAACTTTAGTATAGATGCTCAGAATAGTTTAGAGGTTTATTTTAATATTTAAAAACATGAACTACAGGGATGGTTCGCTGACTGCGTGGCTGTGGCTTTTAGCGCTGGTATCATGTCAAATTGATTCTGGACAACACGAAACTCGTGAGCAGCATGAATGAAGCCACTTGTTCATCTTTTAAATGAAAACCAGCCTCATTCATAGTCGGCTTTTGTTGTTACTTAAAGGTTTTGCAGTGTACATGAAGTGGAGAGTTGACAGCTAACCTGAGTTATCAAGTTATGTCTTAGACGAGCTACTAATGAAGGTAGTATAATTAGCTTAACCTCCCAAGAAATTGCTACTCATAGTTTAGTCCGTTAACCCACGTATCTAACCGTAAATGAGAGTCCGGCAGCAGCTATAATATGTCATATCAGGGATATTACACCTGTTGCTATTCTTGTGGTTACAACCTGACCTGAGCATAAAATGAATCATTCATTACTGTTGACAGCAATCCTACAGGCGGTGATGGAGCAAACAGCTGCCACAGAGGGCGAGGGAGCTATACATTTCTACATTTACTAGCAAACCTTGTTTTCTTTAGTCCGTAAGAGACTGTGCTGTATATTGTGTCAGTCCTCCTTAAGCCCTATTGTTTTCTCTCAGGTAACAATGCAGTTCCTTGGCCGGCTGTTGGACACAGTCTCCTCTGTGTCAACCCTCTTCACCAACCCCTACCGGGTCCGGGATGTGCCACTGTCCGACTATGGTGGAGGAGGCAAAGTCTTGCTGAAAGAGGAGGGACGCATGGTCCTGTATAGAAACAATCAGTGCCAGTCATGGGACTGTCTTCTTATGTGCCCCGAGACGCCGACTGTTGTTCTGAGGTCAATATTGATCACATCATGGGATGGGGGAGTGATGTCATATGTGCCATTTGTTGTGTAATACAGACACTGAACAAGGTTTAAATGATCAGATGTTAGCTGAAATGACCACAAGTGTGTTTTAAAGATGAATTTGTTTGGTTGTCCGTGATCTTATGACCACCTGCAGATTTGGTTTCATTGCTTAAGTGTAGACCACTATTGACCTACACTGTTACCTAACAAAGCAGTTTAACTCAATCAAAACCCTTTATCTTGAATGAGTCAGTGTCATCAGTCATTCAGCCATAGATCTGAAAAGTAGGCTTAAGTAATGAAGCTGTTAATGAAGCTAGTAATGAAATAAACAACCGGTTTTACAGTTTGCCAGAAGTGAAACCAAAAGTGAAATCTGTGCTTGATGTAAGGGTGGGGGTTCCTAGTAATGTGAATTAGTTATAAAGGGAAAGGTTTTTGAGAACTTATAGCAAATACAAACAGTAATATAATAAAGGGCTCTTTGGAGTTATCTTTCCTTGTGAAGAAAAAAACAGTTGTGTGCAAAAGGCAAGGAATGTTAATGCATTGTTACTTTTTTATTGCACACACTTAAAAATTAGGAAAACAACTAAACAGTTATTGTGGTATATGCAGAAGTATACTGCAAATTCTGGATGCAAAAGTCCTGCAGTCAGTCAAAGAACTGAAGCTGAACAGAAGCTGGCTTCTACAGCAAGACAACGATCCAAAAGAAAAACCTCTAAATCCACCATGAACTACTTCAAGAAACACAAGCTGGAGCGACTCTCACAGTCCCCTGACTTGAATATCATTTGAATATCTGTGGGTAGATCTTAAATATGCTGTGTGTGTCCAACAGTCTGAAAATATCTCAGAACTTAATACTGACTTAGAAAACTTTTCCATATGCGTATGGTTTATTTTCTTTCTATTTTAAGTTTGTTTAAATTATAAGTAACAGTAACATTTAAAGAAATTTTAATGCCAGTATGCTGCAGTGGTTGTATTCACGACTTTTCAAAAATCAACAAAGTATGCTGTTTTTCAGGGAGAGGCCAAACTTGCTTACAACTGCAGTTGACTATCATATTCTTATTTATCTTCTCTGTGACTTCACAGGCAAACAGTCAGATTTCCTCTTAAAGTTCTTTTACAATTTGACAATGTAACCTCTGTGCTGCCTGAGCCAGGCTGTTTCAGGTGGGGTCAGAGGAGGACGCCATGAACTGGTTTCCGCAGTATGCCCTCAAGCTTCGCCCCTTCTACGAGACACTTCCTCTGAAAGCTGAGACCACCCAGCCAATTGTGGACTGCATCCGCAACCACCCGGACTGGAGCTCTGCCCACATTGCCGTGGAGACAGGCCTGAGGGAGTGTCTCAAACATAACTATGTGCAGAGGTAAGACAGGATGTGTTGACTTTTATTCTGAAGGGGACTGCATCTTGTCAGAAATAAGAGAAAAATAGCTCTTATTAGTTTCCACAATGCAAAATTATGCTTTAATATTTATGATACTAACAGTCCAAAATTGAAAAAGATACCCAGTTTACAATAATATAAAACAGTGAAAAGCAGCATATTGTCCACATTTGAGACGGGGCAGCCAGTGAATTATAATAATGGATTGTCTCAGCACTAGCTCTGGCTGAGGGCGGGTTTGTTCATGGATAAGTGCATCAATAAACAGTGGAATGAAGGAATGAAGAAGCCTGTAATACATAAGCTTTTTCTACAGAGACGTTAATACTGAGTCTGTATGTGAGTGCCAGCTACATGAAAACAATGCAACAAATACTATTGACTGTTTATAATTGCTTTACAGGGATTTTGAAAGTTTTAGCCCATCAGCTACAAATTATTTGACATTACTCCTTCCAGTTTCCAAATCATGTCATTTTTGAGTTCATTTTTTTGTTTTTTTTTAGCAGCAGTTGGTTTTCATTCTCATCAGTGCAGCATGATAATCAGTTTATAATTACTTGAAAGCTACATCCCTTCTCAATGGAAGCATTTAATTGTTATATCTATGGTCAAACTTTTGCAAAAATCTAAAATGCCTTGCATTTTCAATAGTGTTGTTGGGAAATTTAATCTGAACATGAACATAATTAAAGGCAAATTCAAAAAGAAATTTGACCTGATTTTATCTTGGATTAAAAAGCTTGGAGTTTTGCTGGCAAGTGTTAACACTGTTGGAATTACTCACATAACAAACAAGAAATAAACTGTCCCTGCCTGACCCGCATTACCACATCATGTTAACATAACTTTGCCAAAAGAACAAAACAAAGGATTCAAGCCAGCTCTTCATGCAGTACTGATATGATTAGAAACTGATGGCTGGCTGGAAGGAAGGAAACTTATTAACACCTGCTTTATACTTTGGAAAAGTAGTTTATTGGTAGCTCTGCACATTGTAGGATCAGAGCTGCAAGAACTTAAAATCCTCACAAAATAAAGGTGAAGAATCAGTAATACATGCCACCCTGAAATCAACCCACCATCGCCCCGTCTCCAGTCAGATCAACGCTCGGGATGCGGCCGGTCAGACGCCGCTGCATCGAGCGTGTGAGCGCGGTGACTCGGTGTGTGTGAAGGAGCTGTTGGAGGAAAGCCAGGCTCGCACGGACATCAAAGACCGCAACGGGGAGACGCCCATGCACAGCGCTGCCAAGCAGGATTCTCCTCAAATCATCCAGGTGAGCACAAGTGAAGTCAGCTTCATGCATAAGGTTGTAGTGTAACTGTGTTACAACGCTTCATTGCTTTTAAAATTCAACTGATTGACAAGTGTTACTGTTTTAGGTCAAAATTTAAAACGTTATTAACCAGTCAGGTCCTCTTAACTGCATAATAAAATTATTTTCCCTTCTTCCACCTTCTTCCACCATGTTGTCTCCTCATCCAGGTCCTGTGCTCACGGCTGTGCTCGGGGGTGAATGAGCTGAACAACAACGGGGAGACGCCACTCCACGTGGCCTGTCGCTTGGGACGCGTGGAGGCCGTCAAAGCTCTGTTGGATGGTGGGGCCAAGTGCGATGTCATTGGCGGCAGTGGCTACCCCATCCACAGTGCCATGAAGTACAGCGAGAAGGGGTGAGTAAGGGAAAGGGTGAGGATGATGATTCACAACATGGAGTTATTTTCTCTGTTCTGCTGTCTGTGGTGAAACAACTGATTAACTTTTAAATGGTCTCTGTAGATTTAAACCAGTCCACGCCAGTCTTAGTGTTGCACCATTTCAGATGAATGTTTCTGAAACCACATGCGCTGTTCAGATTGAATTACTTAAGCTTTTTTGTAGCTGCAGAACAGCATCTCCGGAGCTGGAAGTGTTTCTCTTTTTTCCTCAGAGACACTAAAGAACATTTGATTTTGAAGCAACAGTTTCCCCGGTTACCCTGCTGAGCTGCCTCTTTTATACATAGACCTCTAACTGTAGATGAACGCCTGTACTCTCCTTTGAGTTTTTGAAATATGCCTTCAGGACCTGGGTTTGATGACTTTGGGATAAGGGCAGTATATAACAATAAAAATAATCTGTAAGAGGAACTTTCAGAAACTCTCATCTATGTAACTCATATAAGTAACATTGGGTAGTAATGTTGGGTAGAGAGGCCATGGAAGTTGGCCTTCGTAGAATAAAATTGTTACTGTTTCAAAAGGGGTTACTAAAATGATCAGTTTAAAAATGAAATACTGTGCAATATAATTATGAGATACTGAATTATTTACTTTAGTTAATTTATAGTAAATAGTCCTCTTTCAATTTATGTTTGCCTGTCAGCTGCGTGGAGGAGATCCTCAAAGCAGACCCGGGCCAGATCCAGGCTGAAGACTCTTTGTATGGAGGGACACCTCTCCACTGGACCAAAACAGCTGAGGTGAAGAATATTACTTCAGAAATCCAAAATGAGCATATTTTCATTCTAGCGGCGTACAGCCAGAGATGTGAACATGTTGAAGCTTTGATGAAATGTTAATGGATGTCTGACTGTTGATGACCTCTGTGAGCAAACACGGAGAACACAGAGAAACCTTTAATCCTGCACACATTTATGGCACAGCTCCCTGCCAGTGATGGCTGGCTGTATGTACTCAGTGTTCCTCCCCCGGGTGCTCTGGTCTCCCAAACCAAGACTTCAGTGTTTGGAATTAGAAATGTCTCAGGGGGAGTTTATGAGGACTAAAATTAATGTTTGCTTGATCTTGATCTCTCTGTGCCAGATGTGTCGGATTCTGCTGGAGCATGGCTGTGCGGTGAACTACCTCAGTAAGACTGGAGAGACTGCCCTCCACATTTTGACCAAGAGGGGTCGCTTTGAGGCGGCCATGGTGTTGCTCACCCACGGAGCGAATGCCAACCTGAAGGGCCAGGATGGGAACACAGCCCTTCACCTGGCTATGAAGGTGTGTGTACAGGACGTATCCATAGTTTTGTTTTCCAGGTGAAAACAATAACTTTTTATTCATAATCAAAATGTTTATGAAACAGCAAAGAAAGTGGTTACAACACAGTATTTGCAACAGGGAAAAAAACACAGAAAGATTACAGGAGTTTTAAAATACTAGGCACTTTGGAAATTAGATTGTTATTGACATTCTTGAATAGAAACTGTTCTTTGTTTTTTTTTGTATTAAAAGTTGCAAAACTCAGCTTTTTCTCAGCTGGAAAAAACATTGCAACTATGCTCCGATGTAACTACTTCAAATGGATACAGCAAAAAACTAAATTACAACACTTTTTGAACGTCACAGATTGATAATATCTTTAAGAAAGAAAAAAAAAAAGTTTTTTATATTACATCATGCGTGTCACACTGTGCTCATTAGATGGACCACATAGAGTTGATCAAAGCTCTGATCGTGTTTGGTGCTGATGTGAAGATCCACAATGACCTGGGAGAAACTCCTGGACTCATCGCTGCCCGCACCAGCAAAGGTAAATGAGGCAGGGGGCCGGGGTGGGAAAGAGAGCTTTAAACTATGAGAAAGGAGGATGTTCGGGGGTTAAAATAAGGAAAAGTAAGAAACTCTGACTTTGGATGGTGAAATACAGCGATAAGTGTCTAGAACTTATTGTGCATAAGTGTCTAGAACTTATTGTGCCTCATCTAACAAGCCCGTGTGATCTAGTCTGATGTCGGTAGTCTTATTTAAAAGCATGTGTTCTGCTGTAGATGGCAAAGTCTCTGCATGAAAATGGTTTGGTATGTACTGAGTAACTTTGAAAATGTAAATTGAATTTAGTGTTTTTATAGATTTTTAAAATGCATGATGATCGCTAACAGCTTGCTCATGTTCTTGCTGTCTGTCTCTCTCTCTTTCTTCCTCCCTCTCTATCTACTCTCTCTCTCTCTTCTTTCTCTAATTTATGTGGTGTGTGCATGTCTGACATATGCTTGCGTGTGTGTGTGTTTGTATTAACATGAAAGGTCCTAATAGAAAGATACTGCTGGACATGCTGTGTAGTGTAGGGGTCCAGAATTGCCTCCCTCCCTCCCCCGGCAGTCCTCCCCCCATCTCCTACAAGGCCAAGCCTCAAGGCATAGGTAACACCACCACGCCTCACCTTTACCTGCCCTTCACTGTTCTCTGTTTCAGACTTTATGTAATTCAAATGTCTTCTTTTCTACTGGGGTGCTCTTCAATATTTTACATAATTCTTTTATATTTACTACATATTTGGCATACATACTACATATTTTACAGTTTGGCAGTTAAACTGATTTTTCTCATCCAGTGCAACTTGTTTTTGTGTTAATTTAGAATCAATTTTAATCTCTAAAATACCAAAAAACACATAAAGTTTAGTGCTCTTTCATATTCCAAAGAATATAGAGTTTTTTATTTGGCGTACTGAAGGGCTGTAGGAAAAAGTTAAATTATGATTTGAGTCATATTAATGAAACGTGTGTTAGGAGGCAGCATTGACCTGCTCTCACACTATTTATAAGCAACATTCTGTGGAAGAGAGTAGTTAGACTGGTGGTAAAATGAGCGGGATATTATTATTTTTTACATTCTTTATAACTTCACTCAGTTGGCATAACTTAACTCCAAACAGACGTTCATATTTAAACTCCCATGTTGCTTGTAGAAAACCCAGTGACCCCTTTCGTTTTCCAATCAATACTGACCCCCAAGTACTGGTATCATATCAATAGCTGTTGTGATTGGCTGACAGGGTTTGAGGACATCATGTTTGTGGGGGCTGCAATCGGTGCGATGAATAGAGGCAAATCTGAAGTGGACGGCCCCAAAATGGAGAAAAAGAGGTGAGTAAAGAACTGTACAAATATTATCAGGGGTGGGGTCAAAGACAAGGAAGATATCTGAGGTTTATATTTTATTTAATTTGTCCCTTTTTATTTAATCTAAAAAAATATATAGAACAAAATAAATACATCAAATCATTTATTTAAATATGAGGGTGGTTTTATTTGTTTATATTATTGTTATATTTATTTTATTTCTATTTCGTTTTATTTATTGGAGGGTATTGCAGAGGAGGGTTTAGAGAAAATATTTGTCAAGCTGGGGACATTTTTTGTGTAAGATTAAATATAAGATTTAGCAGAATCATTTTTTAACAGTCCTTGAGAAACTTTAATCATTTCATCACTTGTATTTTCACATGAATTTCGCAGATTTGGAGACAACAAAGCACAAAGTGATCTGGATTTTTTCTCTCCTCTCCTGCAGGATGGACAGACTGCTGTGTCTGGATGGTGGAGGTATTAAAGGTCTCGTGTTGATCCAGATGTTGATCGCTCTTGAGAAAGAGGCCGGTCGACCCACCAGGGAGCTCTTTGATTGGGTAGCTGGCACGAGCACAGGGGGTATCCTGGCCCTCGCTATAATACACGGTTTGTGTGTTTCCTTTTACATTTCAAATCGTTTTTATAACGTAGCATCAAAACAATAATGACGGCTCTTTTATACGTAGGTAAGTCCATGGAGTACCTGCGCTGCTTATACTTTAGGATGAAGGAACAGGTGTTCAAAGGATCACGACCCTATGAATCAGCACCGCTGGAGGACTTCCTAAAAAAAGAGTTTGGAGAGAACACCAAGATGTCAGACGTCCAATACCCCAGGTAACTGTTTTTGTCAAACGATGCTCTGGAGAAATTAGTCTGCTGGTTAGAAATGTCAGCAAGGGCTCTGAAACCAGAGAAGAAAATGAAAAAATTCTTTATCCAACTGACTACATTTTACTACATTTCCTCTTACTTATTTGTTTCTGCTCAGGGTGATGGTGACCAGTGTTCTGGCAGACAGACATCCGGGCGAGCTGCACATCTTCAGGAACTATAACCCTCCCTCCGTCCACAGAGAGCCCCCATATGCCACCACTGCCACATTCAAGCCCCTCACCATCCCACAAGGTAATTCACAATTGCCAGTTGTGTTTGCTGGCCTGCTGCACTAGTCCTCAGATGTACTGGAGGGATAGTGGAGTGCAGTGATACTACCACTGGATGGCGTCAAAGCAAGCCGTATTCAAATCCTATACTTACTTCAAATTCTATGATCAGGTTGTCTCAATGAAACCGGGTCTCAGTTCATTCAGGAAGTGAAAAATGAAAAGAAAAGTTCTGGGTTGAGTGCAAAACCTACATCTTTATATGTCACTGTATCCATGAACAAGTGCAGTTGTGCTGTGTTGTTTGAGTGCCAGCCATGTTGTTATTACAGGATGGGAGGATGAGGATGTGTTGATAGTAGGATACACAGAGGAGCCGCCCAGAAAGCGTAGGAAGGTGACAGATGAAGGTGTGTGGATGAATGTGAGTGAGAGACTAAAAGCACTTGAAAGGAACAGCTTCACAAAGAATTTAATTTTCAAGATTCAGTCACAGTTTTAATACCTCACAAATTAAAATGTTTTCACGTTTAAATGTGCTCGAATACAGAATAAATACTTTAAAGATTTTCAATAGCACAGCAGCAAAGAAATATGCTTCAGCTCCTTCAAGTCTCAGAGTTTTGCCTTATACTCATGTCCTTGTCTTTATATCAGAACAACTTGTGTGGCGAGCTGCCCGCTCCAGCGGTGCCGCTCCAACCTACTTCCGACCAATGGGCCGCTTTCTGGACGGGGGGCTGCTGGCCAACAACCCGACGCTGGATGCAATGTCCGAAATCCATCAATACAACAAAGCTTTAAAAGCAGAGGTAGGCAAATTGACAGCTGCATGCTATTGTTATTTCTCTGTTGGTGCTCAATTGAGTGCACATTCAATCGCTAACCCAAATGGATTTGTAAAGTGTTTTTCATCGGGTCATTTATTTATCTGTCCCCTCCATTTTTAACTCCTCTTAACCCTCCTGTCTCTCAGGGCCACAGGGAGGAAATCAAGAAGTTGGGTATAGTGGTCTCCCTTGGTACAGGTAAACAACTTCATCATATCAATGAATATAATGCACGTGTAAACATATCAGTATGTCTTAATTGGAGAACAGGGAATTTCATTATTAGTATTTTATAGTTTATCAAATAAATAAAGATACATCTACACTAGCACTTTGAGATGAAGTGACACTTGCTTGAATCTCTGCTTCAGTATTGCATGACATTGTAAAATGCTCCTCCATTTTTTAACTAAATTTGTTTTTCAGTTTGTTTTCCAAGAGGTTGAGGTATTTTAAGTCATGCGGTGACAATTAGTGTACATTAATAAAACTCAAACAAATAAAACACCTTTCCGGGTTCTTTTCTTCTCTTCTTTACAATTTACAATACAAGTCCTCCCCCGTGTTATGTCTCACCACATCTTCATGTTTCAGCAGGTATTAAACTGTAAGGAGGCTCTCAGTTGTTGTTACGGGAAAATGTCCTGGCAAAGAGTTTTTAGACTTTGGAAATGTACTTTATGCCTAATGGAACATCCATGAGTGTCAAATGATGGATGCTGTTTATCCAAGATGCTCTATACGGCTCTAAAGGACTCATGCCATGTTACTTTGCTTTACCCACAGAGCTGCACAGGAAAGCTTTTACAGAACATTGTGAATAACTAACCAGAGATCACTGTCTCTCTGTTTGTATACTTATATCATATATGTGCTCCTGCGTGTCTCCAGGTAAACCCCCGCAGGTGGTGGTGAGCTCTGTGGATGTTTTCCGGCCCTCCAATCCTCTGGAGCTGGCCAAGAGCTTTGTTGGAGCAAAAGAGCTGGGCAAGATGCTGGTGGACTGTGTGAGTTCAGCTATAGCACATGCTGCAATTTGTTTTTTCTACTGCACCAACAGTATTTTTTATCGGTTCATGCCGTTAGAGTTGTCTTTCTTTTTTTGTAATCTCTCTAATTATAAAAATGTGTCTCTATGACTGAACAGTGCACAGACTCTGATGGCTGTGCAGTGGACAGGGCCAGAGCCTGGTGTGAAATGATCGAGACCATCTATCACAGGTCTGCTAACCATCAACCACTTCCTTTTTACAACTACGTCAGCCTCATGCTGTCACAAGATGTGTTGCAACAGGGACATGAAACAAGACACGACTGCAGTTTTATCATATCATAGATCGTTAACCCATATTAGTCATTTCCTTCTGTGTCATTGAGCTCAGAAGTGTGTATAGAGCTATCCATAACCTCTTTTATTCAAACACAATTCTCCAGGCTTTCATACATTTAATTTTGTTTCTGTTACCTGTACTGTCTCATTTGCAATTCCCTATTATTGTCTATTCATTTTAAAGTGCAGTGGAAACTGCTTATATTGAGAAATTTGACCCAGACAGACACAATCACTATAAACAGTTTCCACTGTACTTTGAAACTCTTCACTAATCACCATGTTTATTGTATTTTGTGCAGATTGAGCCCCCAGTTGTCACAGGAGGTGATGCTGGATGAGGTGAGTGACGCAGTCCTGGTGGACATGCTCTGGGAAACCCAAATGTACCTTTATGAGAAGAGAGATGTCCTCCAATCCCTGGCAAATATGCTACTGGACAACTGAAAGCACAAGAAAATAATAAGGAGAGGCTGTGAAGATGAGACTGTGAGAGAAGAGGAGATGGCGTATATGAGAGGAAGGGAGAGCCCTCTGAGTGGAGTCAAAGACTAGGGTGATTAGACAAGGCACAGAGAGGTGTTGACGTTGCCCTGATGTCACCTATTGCGATGCAAGTCATGTAGCATCATGTGACCTTATCACTGACCTTATTATTATCATGGTTTATCAAGTTTACTGTTTGTACATAAACCAGTAAAGGACAGAGTGTAGCTAACTGCAGCTAACTGTGTTTTTTTGCCCTATCCATAGTGTTTGGCAACAAATAGAGTCAGACCATGTTTGAGTCCAATTCTGATTGGTTGTGATAAAACTAAAACACTTGTCATTCTTCCTTTTGTGTTCCTTTTTTCTTTTCTTTTTTACCAAAGTAACTACAAAGGCTCTGAATATACAGACATTTTGCATGAGGCTATATGATCAAAGGGACCCTGCAGTATCAGTGCAAGATCTGCATTATACTGTAGCATTTGGACAATGGTGATTATTAAAAGGTTCTGCCTTGTGTGTCTGGGACCCAAATTTGTACCATTTCCTTTCCACAGTGCATTTGAATGCCTTCTTAGGTTATCTATACCGACTTTAAACACAATATTTAACCTCACACTGATAACTTTCTTGCACACTGTTACATCCTCCTGGTGTACTGTGAATGAGTTCTGGCACATATTTAACGTACTGTTTTAACAGGACTGGCAACTAGACTTGAATTACCAACTTACTTGAAAGACAAAGAAACTGAAGACTCACCGTTACTTGCACATTGTAAACTCGACGCAACAAATTATTTCTTATGCTTTTTTTTTGTATCTGGATTAATTATTGAAGTGTATAATGGTATGGTAATAAAATATATCAATATTTACTTAACATGTATCCTTGACGGATTTGTTTCTTTGTTGCAGCACTCATGCACATGATTAGAAAGGTGTGGTCTGTAGTTTAATTCAGCCTGTGTCTGACTGCCTTCTATGTTTTATTAATTAATCACTGTGGCCACAAAAAAAAGTCAAAGCACAGGTGTAAGAGTCCACTTTATTTAAATGTACAATCCATAGTCTGTAACTGTAAAGTGAAGGGTCACTGCTAAACTAAATAGATAAACAAACTGTAAATGATGAACATAATTCATAACTTTTATAAGGTTTTGCTTTAGCCCACAACTGATCGGGAATTTCATTTTCAATGAACACTGGAATTATTGTAAAATCTTACAATTCATGTATGTAGCTATTCAATTTATTAATTTGAATAAGGTTACTTCATCTGTTACTTTGGGTGAACATTAAAGGCTGTACACAGGGGTGCCGCCAGGGATTTTGGGCCCCATGAAAAAATATCACATTGGGCCCCCTCACCAAAGGTAATTAAAAAAGTTTTTTTTTTTTTTTGGGAGGCCCCTTGTCTGTCATGGGCCCTTAGAATCGTCCTAACTTTCCCCCCCTTTACGGCACCCCTGGCTGTACATGTATACAGTGCGGGTCACTCTCACACACACACACAGCGCTGGTTACTGTTCATTCTCATTTATAAAGGTGGCGGGAAGAGGTGAAGGGGTCGGTTCAATATATGGTTGAAACATTAAAGGTTTACTGGTTGTTGCACAGCTTAACCCAACCGAAATGACAATGTTGGGTTTGTAATATATGGCAGCCTATTACATGCATTTGAAATACTTCCTTTGTAACGGTGTTTTCAAACTGAGTGTCACTTCAAGGGAGTGAACTGACTTAAAGCCTGATTGTCAAAACTTCATTGTCAAAGGTAAGTAACATTATGACAGGATACTCTTACTTGTTATTTATTTTTCTGTTGATTTATTTTTCTATTTATTTATGTACATTATTAGCTGGTCCTTTTCTGATCATTATCTTTGTTATAACAAGCATTAAATGTCTAAACGAATCAAAAGTTAAAGTTAAAGCCTCCAATACATACATACATATATATATATATATATACACACACAACAAAGCTATCAAAATATTTATATAGGTATATGTATAGGTTTTAATAATATTGCGCATGCGCAAACGGGCCGTTCAGCAAATCGGGTAGGTCCGCATTATCCAAGTGGAGTTACCGTTGTATAATGAAGTTTGTCCAAGTGGAGTTACCATACAAGATGGCGACCGGTTCGCGCATGCGCAAACCGTTCGTTCAGCAAATCGGTTAGGTCCGCAGATCGGGTAGCGACAGGCCTATTTTAGGCTTAAAGCGAACAGACAAGCATTGGAAAATAGCGTCTAAGCGGCGAAAGATACAAATCACAACTTCCGGCCAGTGCTACAATAAAATCCGAGCGGAAACAGAATGCAGATAGGGATTAAGATCGTGGATTGATGATCTAAAAAATATATGATCTTTTTGCCAGATGGCATGAAACAGGCTATGTTAAACCTTATGTAACCGAGCGTCTTATCTTATCTTATCTCCACACTTATCTTTAGTTCTGTACTCCGCGTGTGACCCCAAAACAGTTTCCAACAACAACCAACACTTTAAGGCAGCCCTCACAGAGGACACACTTCAGGAAGCATAACACATAGTAGGAAACACAGGAAAGTCATGGATGTATTATAAGACCCCCCAATGGAAACGTCCCCGTTTTGCCATTAAGAGAAAAAATGTCCACAAATCCCCAGTGTGCAAGGCAAAACCAGCACAAATACCAACAGTGCAGTGTAAAAAATCAGGATATCAACTGTTCTCCCACCTTAATGAGGAATTAGCTGATCAGAAACGCAATACAACTGTTACAGTTACATTACTTGGTTGTGGTTTGAGTACTGGTCCCAATGAAAATGAAAGCCTATTTCACTCAATGCCTAATTCTAGCTGACACTATTTAGTGGCAAATACAACCTCATTAAAATAGTTAATTTATTAGTAGTATCCAGTCCAATCTCAAAGCAGAGTCCAATCAGAAGGCAGATGGTTCTATTGCCTTTATTGGCAGATCCTGGGTCCCCGTATGTTCAGAAAAAACTAACTGCCTGATCGTACACGGACCAGCAACAACAAAAATTCAGTTCAATTTATTCAACGTCTCAACTTTGTGCTGAGTAACGTTCTTCCAAAACAATCAATGTTTCAGTTCCATTCAATTCATTCTTTTAACCCTAACCCCTGCACACCCTTTCACTCACTCTTTTTCCTGATCATCACATGGAGTGGCAGTGCTGGTAAGCACATTTTCCTTCTCTTTAGTTTTATCCTATGAGCATGAAAAGTTGAACTGAGTACTATTCATCCTTATTCCTTCAAGATGGACATTTGATTAGTTTTGACTTGACTTCAAATTTTTGTATTCGTTTCCTTCAGATGAAAACTCATGTGTGTTCTACAAATAAAAGTGAACATGTAGGTCAAATTCTATCATATTATCTTGAGCAAACAACTATAAACAATTCTAAATCAAAATCTAGTTGATGTATTAATTAACAAATAAACATGACTTGAGAAAATATAATGAAATTTACTCACTCAACGCACTCAGGAACAAATGTGAAATGATAAAGGGAAGCAGCTAAACTGAAGGGCAAACAGAATGAGCTCTCATTCAAGGCACCTGTGAGCTGCCACTTAGCACACCTGTTGTGCTGCTGCTCTTCAGTCCAGCAGTAATATAACCCCACTTCCAATAGTATACGTTATTTAAGTTAAAAATGCCCAAAGTAACAAATTCAGTAACCTTAATCAAATTAATAAGTTGATGAATAGCTACATACATGAATCGCAAGACTCTGTAAAAAAAAAATTCCAGTGTTCATTGAAAATGTATTCCCGATCAGCTGTGAGCTAGCAGTTAAACACCGACAACAGCTTTTTTTTTTATAGACAATGTGTTTATTTATTTAGCTTAGCTCCCCTTAAATGAAATGAAAAAAATGAAAAATGAATGAAATTAGCCCCCCCCACCCCCCCAGATGGCATTTTTCATTATACAACGTGAACAACTGCAGGAGAATTATACTTCATGCACAGACCCCTATTACATTACGGGTAATACAAAAAAAGAAAACAAAAGGCGGCCATTAGTTTTTATGCTTGGCCTCAGGCACTGGCAACAAAGACATCAACACGGACAAATCATTTCATGTTAGGTGAGTATTTTCTCAAATAGCTGTTCGTTAGCTCTCTGCAACATAAGAGGTGATACAAAAAAAGTGTAAAAATGAAACGAGAAATGCTTACTAATTAATTATTCGAGAAATAAGTTATTAATTTAGCTAGCTTTAGCCGACAGGATTGCTAGCATGACTTTGCAAACCTACCATGAACTACTCTGGTTGCTTAGCAACACTTTAGCTTTTTAAAGCCGTTGGTTCAGTGGCCTAGCATATCTACACCTGGCCAGCAATTTCATAAATAATGTGGGCGTTAAACACTATAACTTGAACTCAATCCCTTTTTGTCTGTGTCTTTCTTTGAGTGACTGCAAGAGACGACCATTAGCTAAGATGGTTAGGGCTAGCAGTCACTGGAAACAGGCGTCAACAGGACATTTGGTGAGTATTTTTTTTGTTTAATTTGCTGTATATTAGCTTATTGTAACATAACACTTGTTACCCAATTAAATGTTAACGCAAAACAGTGACTTCAATTCTTTATTTTTATTCTATTTTAGAGAAAGAAGTAACTTAACTATCGCCAGCTAGCGTTAGCCTGCGGCATTGCTGCCATGATTTCTCTAACCAACCGTGAATTGCCCGGGTTAATTCGGTATCCCAGCCTCTAACGGTACAGTTTGCCAACAAATTATAAGAAATACAGATGTTGGACATAGTCCTGCAGGACCTTTTGTTGTAACCTAGATTAATTTGAACATTTCACAGATGTTTCACAGAAATAGTATTTGTTTGAGGGTTGTTACTGTGTATTGAGGAGTACTAGTCCACTTCAATTTTGACACAGTGAAAGTCTACACAGCAAGTCCTGGCTAAATGAGTTAACAGGCAGGACTGTGGTTAATCACAGTAACTAAAAGGTCCTCATTTCACCCCCTAAAACAGGTAGTGGGTGTTGGTCAGTGCTCTCAAGTGTGCCTCTGAAGTGACTTTGGACATCTGCCTACTCATTTACAGTAGGCAACTGTAGACAAGCTCATCAACTGAACTCCCAACATGTAAGTAATGAACAGAACAATACTCAAGTTCTGTACATCACAGACGCATCATCATACATTACAGAGGCAGGTGGGTTGTTGCATTCATTCATTTGCTTTGTTGTAGAATTTTTTAGAGGCCCACTACCTGGTCATCACCCCTGAAAGTGAAGAAAAGAATGTGTTAGTAGACTTGTGGTCACTTGAAAAATGTAAAAAGAAAAAAACTAATTTTCTCAGTTGAGATGGGTTTCACTTCAGTTTAACTATAAGGCTATCAATAGTTGACTGCATTTAGAATATTGCATAGCCCTGTTAAGTATGTGTCATGCAAATCAGATCAATGGTGTATTGAATGATTATGGACTTAGGTAGCCCATAATTTTGACTGATCATTACGATCCCACACTAGGAAATTTGGCTTGGGCTTCCACCAATGCTGCATTCAAAACAATCCTCATACATAAAGACAGGGTAACACAGCTAGACCACCACCAGGGGGTTATCACACTATACTACAAATCTTTGTATAAGCATACACTCAGTTTCCACTGTTGACACCCACAAATAACAACATTACGAATTCTTGAATTATTATTTTTTTGCTCTTGGCTCAATCAAATAATTGAATGAATGGATGATAAACAGAACTTACTAAAGTGTTGTACATTGTTATTTCACCCACCCCCATGATGCTACGTCATTATTTAAATCATCATATTTGTTACTGTCTTTTATCTATTTAGATTTATGACCCCAAAACCGTTTCCTAAGTTTGAACAGGCCATGCAGTCTGTCAGTTAGTTCAAACTCAGTCTTAAGGAAACAGCAGATCCTTGAGGCCCCTTTACAGCACAGATCTGGAAACTGAAAACTGTTGACTCTCATAGTGTCTAGAACTTATGCTAGAGATGGGTAAAACCACTAAGAGGATCCTGAATCAGTTGTAATGGTAAGAGATGCTCACTTAGGGCTCATGTTGGGTCTAAAGTTGACAACAGCATAAGCAGCATGGTCCTCTTTTTTAGGCTGATGTGGTAGGACGCTAGAGTACAGAGGATCTTTCTGAGTCTTAGAGAAGTGGACTCTGCTATATTGAAGGTCATCAAGGTCATCCTGCTCTGTTGGTTGAGCTGAGATGTCGTCATACACAGGGCCAAGGTTTAACTAATGAGAAAACAGGACAAATAATAATATATATTACAAATAATACAAATAATATATCAGATTGTAAGACAATAATTCTCTACATCGAAAACTGGACTGATTAAGTTTTTGGGGGCCTTACTGATGTTTAAATACAGCATAGCACAGTAGGTATTCATTGACAGGAGTAACTCTTTGATACCTGACAGCCTTAAAAAGAATGATTCTCCCCGAAATTTGTTTTATAAAAATAAATGTGTATAGACAACCTAATTTTATTGCAGCTGAGTATAATCTTCATCATATCAATAATGAATGACATGATTGATTTCAAATTTTTTATAGATGACTAGTTGGCCTTTTAGTGTATTGGAAAGCTAATGTAGCTGTCTAATGTGGACTGCAGTAGAAGAAATGTTACATCCTACATTACAAAAATTAGACCCATATAGCTAATGGCACAATGTACTTGTAATCAGTAAAATGATGATTGATTATGTGTTACTTGAAGAATCACTCTAACTGAAGGGAAGCAGGATAGATGACTTGTACTAAGTGGCCTGCAATGTGTGGGATTTTTCAGCTCTTTCGCTGTCAAGACATTTAAATCCTATGGGCCTGTATTCATGGCTTAATGTTCTGCAATAAGTTTGTTGAAATGAGTGTTTTTTTTTTACCTGCTCAGTGTTCTCTGTTGCTTCAGTTATAGGACACTGACCTGAAGTCCTCTTTCTTCTGGATAGTGAAATTAATTAATAAAAAAAAATGTACATAAATACGGTATTTCAGATAAGAAATTGAATGTTATTGATCTGCAACAGAGCACAGTGTTGCTCACCTTATCCAAAAGATGACCACTAGAGATACTAGAGGTATAATAACCAGGAGAACAGCACAGACTCCCGCAGCAGCTGCTGATATGTGTTTCTTGCTGATACTTCGGACTGTTAGAGTCTTCTCACTGGATTTTTTGCCGGGTTTGACAGCACATGAGTAGTTTCCGGCATGCTGACTGCTGACTGGGTCCAGAACCAGGTATTTGTTTTGGTCTTGTGGCACGATCAGAGGTCGACTATTCAAGTACCACATGTAGGTCATGTTAACAGAAAGAGGACAGCTAGTGATGCAAGTCAGTGTGACTGTCTGGCCCTCTTTCACCACTGCAGGGTGCACCCTCACTTTCACACCTGAAAGATGTTTAGATGGGTCAGTAAATGAAAAAAAAAAAAAAATCCACAAGTTCTCAAATCTGGATAACAACTCCTAATATCTGTATGGCAAGATCACCTTTAAGGTAAAAAAAAAGAATTCAATTACATCTGCTGGGAATGTCCTTAGGAGAAATTCAAAAAGCATTAATACAAACGGACAGCAGCTCTGTGCCTTCTGCAGTTTTATCTCTGAAACCTGATCCAGCCTCAAAATGTTGGACTCATGTTCCTGAAAAGTCCATGAGTTTGAGTGAAGCTGAACCAAAGACTAAAAATAAACATTTCAATTCATGAGACATTTTCATTCCTCGTTTTTAGACAAACTTGGTCAAAGACACTGTGGTAACATCCGTACAGTTACAGAGTTATTTTATTTATAATACAGAATTACCTGTGACAACCAAAGTCACTCCAGGAAAATAAAGCATTTTCGATGTATTTGTCAGGGCTCTGAATATGTATTCGCCAGAGTCATCCTTCTTCAGGTTTATGATTCTCAGCATGTGGTGATTCTTCCTGTTTCCATGATACTCCATACGACCCCCAGCTGTGATCAGCTGTTCAGTATCCTTCTCACCATTTATCTTTATCTTATACCAATATTTGTGCTTGGGTGGCTGCTCGTAGGGATGTGAGTATTCGCTTGAAATGTTCACTGAAGAGCCTTGTAGAGCACAGATTCTCCTGATGGCATAATTCACAGTCCAACAGCTCTCACCCTCAAGACCTGAAATACAGAAAATAATAGCAAGTTTTAGGAAAAATGTTGAGACTTTTTTTTAATGGAAATTAACATTGAATTCAGTGCTCTTGGCCTATGTATAACTATTCATTGAAATGCCACAATTGTAAGTCTTGTGGACTGAATTCCTTCATGCAATTGTTTCTCTGAAATTGAAAAATAGAAAACTAATAAATAGATCAAGATTTTGTTATTTAGTTTTTTTGACTGGACCGCCTTAGAAATGTGAATGTCCATTACTGACTGTGTGATACACCATTGGTCAGCCGAATGTCGTTTGACTGAGTGATAAGATTACATGATTGGTCGGCCGAATGTTGGAGTTTCCCCATTGGCCGTTGCTCTTTAGAAATGCATTGGCACTAACAGTTTCTATTACATCATCAGGGGGTGTTCACAGGTAGTGTTGCCAGCTTTGTGCCTTTGTTCCTACGTTTACCAACTTTTCAGACCCCGTTAGCAACTTTTTTTTTCATGAAAGCACCCAGCAACAAAACTAGTGACTTTTTGGACATACATTATCTATTTTCTGTAGAGCAGAGTCACATGTATTGCACCGCGAATTGCTTGAAAGTGACTGCTGATTAACATGTAGTCTCAATAGGACACATTTCAAAGATTATTTTATATTTGTTCATGTTGTCTGACAACAGAAGCGGAAAAACATGTAATGAGAACAGCTTGATTGGGAATTTAGCTGTATTAAAATACTGTTAATGTGAGCACAGAGAGTAGGTGAGAACTAAGCAGATAAAGGGCTGGAACGTGCCTACACCAGGCAGAATGCAAATACCACACAATGACGTCTTGTATATGATAATCAGAATATTACGTCATCCAGCAACAACATTTAGTGAGTTCTCGAGCTGGGTTTAACTTCTCTCCATTGACAATAGTTGTTTACAGCAGTTCCACATCAGCTTACATCTATGTCCTCAATTTCACATATTGACCATAAACAGTCCAGCCATATACCATGTTTTGATCCAGTCTTGATATTTGTGGAATTCTTCATTTCTCTACTGTGAACATATGCAGTTAATCAGCTGCAGCTACATGTACCAACGCAAATTCAAAGTCATAGGAAAATGTTTTAAGGCTGTTTCTTTCAAATAGTTACATTTCCTGTATCCAGATTTGTCCAATTTGTAGTTTTATGACTAGTTTTACAGGGAGGTCTATCTCCTGTTTTCCCTGATGGACTCTGATGACTGATTTGACATGCTCGCACTCTACAGGGACATCTAGTGGCCACAAGTCGACAATACAGTTTATTTAGTGCTTTCATGGCCTATTCTGTTGACTTGAATAATTAAACATGCAAATACATGATCAGATCATTCAGTTTGCACCTCAGGGCAACTGCAATAAACAAGACTCACTTATTTTACCCACTCCAATGATGCTGTGTCATTACTCAGATCATCATATTTCTTAGTTCATGTGTTTAAACAGACCATAGTCTGTAAATTGGTCCATACTCACAGACTTCAGGAGACAGCAGATCCTCAAAGCCTTCCACAGCACAGGAGTAGCTGTCAGCTGAGCCAGAAACTGAAAACTGTTGTCCCTTAGCGTTTTTGTACAGTTGTCTGTTCTGGTACCACATATAGGCAGTTTGAGGGTCAGTCAGTGGACAGCTGGTGTTACAGGTCAGGGTATGCTGTGACATAGAACTCCTCTGAAGACGTACTTCTGTTGGAAGATGATGAATACACTTTTAATGTGTGCTGTGTTACATTTAGTAAACAAGTATCATCAAGTGTTGAATATAAACTCTCAAAGTGTGATTTGTACAGTTGAATAAGTTGCTGAATAAGTATAAGTGAGAAAACAAAACACAAATATCGACAGTGTAAACACAAAATAAATAATGGATTGTACAAAAGATCTCTATTTTAAAAAATGGATCAGAGCTCTGAGGGTGGGAGGTTTGTAAATGTTTGTGTAACTTAACCTGTGGGATATGTGAGGGAGCAGGACTCATTCACTGATGTCTGCTTGTAAGAACACATTCTCCCTTGAGCGTAGGTCACATTAATGCAGGCTGGTGTGACAGAATCTGAACAAAGAGAAATTAGATTTAGTTTTTTTTATTAGTGAACAAGTTCCTCAATCATTCCTTGTTTTTTGAAAGTGTAACATGTTAAACCACACACTTATAAACATCATATATTTAGTGGAAAGGTTTACACAACAGACCATTTTAATGGAGTTGAAATGGGCTAGCATGTTAGAAGGAATTTTTTTTTAATTGAATTAAAAAATATATATTCCTGCACCTACACTTATATTTTTAAATTCATATCAGAAGTTACAGTATGTTTTACAGTTCAGGTTGTGTAACATGATAAGGAACTAAAATGTGTGACTCACCCACAGAGACTTCAGGGGCTCTGTGTTCCTCGTAGCCTTTGATAGCACAGGAGTATCTGACTGCTTCTTCACTGCTGACCAGCTCTTGGTACCAGGGAGACCAGTCCTGATAGAAAAACTTTCTGTTCTTGTACCAGATGTAGCCTGCAGGGTTTTTAGTCTGAACACAGCTGGTGCTACACATCAGTGTCACTGACGTTTCCTCTGTGGTAGGAATCACCTTTACCTGCAAATCTGCGATAATGGTGAAAATACAGTAGATAACACAGGCATTCACATATACATGTCATTTTAATGCAAAAAGAAGTGACAGCCACTGTACCTGCAAGTTGGAGGTTGATTTTATTTAGCCAGCAGTTATTTGAGTTGTTTTTTGTATTCTCACTGCAGCAGTAAAACTTTGCATCGCCCTCTCTCAGATCTTTGATTGTTAGAGTGGGTTGATTTTTGTCAGACATGTTGTATGTTACACGATGTCCATCTACAGAGATCTCGGTCATGACATACTTGCTGCCATCCTTGTATGTGTACCATTTGTTGCTTGAAGTGGGATTTCCAGCTGAGCAGCGCAGATCAACTGATGAACCTTTTACGGCACAGATGCTTTTTGCTTGTCCATGAACCCCTTGAACAGAAGTTTTTATTTGCAAACATCTGGACAGATTCATAGTATTTTAAGAGCTGATGTAACAGGTCATAATCTTGAGAGTTAAACCGTAACACATTTTCAATTCAGTTAAACTTTAGTAGTAGTTTGTTCAGCTTTTTTTTCAATTTAACTCACCCCAGTAAAACAATTTTTTAATACTTTACAGTTAATGAGTGTATGATTAAAAGGATAAAGAAGAAATCATACCTGAGATGTAGAGGATGAAACTCATAAGCACACATCCAGCTCCTGCCAACAACATGGCTGTTGTGGTCCTTCAGTTTCCAGTAAAAACGTTGATTGTATAACGGTATATGTATCAGTTTTATAACAAATGCTGCGTTCATAAAAACTCATTCAAAAAATAAAAAATGTAACCCAGTGATTTAAATTCAACAACAGTTCACTCACAGTCCAAAGACTGGAGATGATCATTTGTCTGGGAGTGCAGCTTGCATGGAGCTCTTATGTGGTAACTTCACTTCCTTTCACAAGAAACGACGAACTGAGTATTAATAGGAAACCACAAGTGAGGCTCATGTTTCTATCATTTTAATCTTTGAAAAAATGTCTTTTGAGTGCATTGACTTTTCATGAAACATGCAAAAACAATGATACAATCAGCTGTATCTGTTGTCAGAGTGAGAGTCTTGGAAAGTGAAGCAATCATGAGAAAGTTTTTATCTGGTTGGTTTATGGTTTGAAACAAACAAACTCATGAAACTGAATTCCATTCTCAGGTGGTTGTTTCACGACTTAGATGTGATATGGTTTAAACCCATGTGGGTTGAAAGAAGGCTGTATTCAAAATCATTATCTGATTACTGTTTACTATTTAGTGCAATTATTTAGTGTGAAATTTATACACAATGTAGTGCCTTCAAAGTTTCCCACAATAGAATGAAAACTGTTTTCCATTTACAACCCCACAATCCAATGAGTCACGTTTTATAACTGTGTCTCTAATCTCAATTTACTGCTTAGTACATTTTAAGACTTTTTAAAGATGTGCAGACACCCTGCCCACTGTAGCAAGTGTTAGAAGTCACTGACGAGAGAGTGCGTCTTCTGTAACATTTCAGGGAAGTAAGTAAGTCAAGACAAACTACTGTATGTAGTTAGCACCCTAATATTGATGGTTGCTGTAAACTGAGCCATCTAAGTTACAATGCATCATACTGTAGTTAATGGCTGAAAAATAAATGTGAAAAAATGTCTTTGTAATGATCTTCAGTGTGACCACCGTCTCTGTTTACACGGTTTAATGTTTGTTGTTGTCTCTCTCTATCACAGAGAGGGGTAGTTTATATCGTAATCATCTGATTCTTATTTGATTAATTTTTTTTTCAGATTTCACTCTTGCCATGTACACTCTTTACATAAAGCTATAAATATCTCATAACATCACCCAAAGCACTCAACATTTCCCAACTTTATTGAGACGTCACCCACAACATACTCTATAGAGGGGAGTTGTGAAATGAGGAGCACAAGTTCCTCTCTCTACAGTACATGTGGAGCTCTAACAAACGTATAGACAAAATAACATGCATCCAACTTGCACGTAGCATGCAAAAAAAACACCTGAATGATTATTCTGCTCTTTAGCAGTTAGGACTCTTACCTGCAGATAGCACCATCATTGCACCACATGATGTCAGATAGTACAGATTCTGATGCATTTGGCCACAACACCCTTGCAGGTCGTGTATGTGGTAATATTTTTAACCGTCTGATGTGATTAAGTTCATGGGAAATGTGTGAAAAAGACCTCTGTCCTCTGGAGCTTAGTCGATTGCTTTGTTTTCATTTTATCAAAAGGAAAAAATTCTACAGATAATGTGAGATGAGGCTTGAGTGTGAATATGAATGAGTATGTTTTTGTGAGTGAGAGAAAGAGAGTAAATAAGTAAGTAAAGCTTTATTTTTATAGAACTTTTGAAAACATACTGTAGTTACAAAATGCTTCACCCACACACTTGAAAAATATAGAAAAAAATAAAACAAATAAAGTAAGAATACATTGCAATATAAAACATAATAGATCCGATCTTACACCAGACGCAAAGCTCAATGCAAGTGTCTTTGCTAGTTTCAGACCGATGCAGTTGTAGTTTTCCCATCCAGGTCCTATGTTGTTTAAATAGCATCCATGGGCGTGTTGGTCTTAAAATTCTTCACCTAGATTAAATTTGTCCCACTACAGTTTCATAATGAACCGAAAATTTATTTACACTTCTCATAATATAAAAGATATCCTTTTTTTCCAACGTAAAAACAGCTGAAGTGATATGGACACAGTCTCAATACATTTGCGTCATTGGCTTTCGACCATGCACTTTGGACTGTTAGAATAGAGCCCAATGAGAGGCAAACCAAACTAAAATGAACCAAAACAAAACAGAGATGGACATCTATGAAAAGTCTTTCCTATAAAATTAGTTACTAGGAGTTGCTTTAAATAGTCCAAAGACTCAGCCCACCTAATAAAGCGTGTCCTCATTTTTTTCACAAATATTTTTATAATTGTTGTTGATTTAAATTTTCACATCATGTGTTGGCTCCTCATGCATCATGCAGCAGTGTTAAACTGCATTATATTTTCCTCACTAAGTTGCCAGAATGAGAGCACAGAGATGTTGTTATAGGCAAAAGAGAAAGAGCCTGGGAAGGCGTCATTTTTTAAGTTGCGTTACAATCTGTTCACAAATTTGCAATAGCATGTAAATATCTTCACATTCTTACATTTAGTACCTTTATGGTTTTTTTTTTTGTATCATACTTATTTAAATGTGTGACCCTGATGAAGGCCATAAGCAAAAACACAGCAAAGTTCTTAAAGCTGCAAGTGTTGCTGGAGTTTTTGTTTTGGGCGTTTTGTGTGTGTCACTGAGGCTGCTTTTCACACATTTGTTTGTGTCGTACACCTTTTTAGCACATGCAATGTTCCATGTTACTTCTTCTTTAGAAACACACTTTTTCTGACATATTTTAAAGTGTGTAGTGAGTTGCTTGCAAGGCTTGTTCCTTTTAGGGTGAAGTGAAATAGAGGTGAAGAAGCCTTAAAATCTGACAGTTAAGTCTCTCAAATCAAGCAGAGAGGGCACCCACAACACACCACTGTGTATTGGAGGGTTTTATTACAGTATGTCTTATGCTAAAGATGAGCAAAGTCACTGAGAGGATCCTGAATCAGTTGTAATGGCAAGAGATGCTCATTCAGGGGTCATGTTGTGTCAGAAGTTGGCAAAAGCTTAAGCAGCATGGTCCTCTGTTTTAGGCTGATGTGGTTGGACGGTGGAGTCCAGAGGATCTGTCTGGGTCTCAGAGAAGTGGACTCTGCTAAAGTGAAGGTCGTCAAGGTCATCCTGCTCTGTTGGTTGAGCTGAAGTGTTTTCATACACACGACCAAGGTTTAACTAATGAGGAAACAAGACAAACAATATTAGTTCACACAGTGGGACAATAATTCTCTACGCTGAAAACTGGATTGATTAAGTTTTGGGGGCCTGATGATGTAATGATGTAATCTTCATTATATCAATGATGAATGATGTTACTGGTGCATATACAATGTTTTACAAATGGATGATTGGCCTTTTAATGTATTGGAAAGCTAATGTAGCTGTCTAATGTGGACTGCAGTAGAGGAAATGTTACATCCTACATTATAAAAAATTAGACCCATATAGCTAACGGCACAATGTACTTGTAATCAGTAAAATGATGATTGATTAAGTGTCACTTGAAGGATCACTCTAACTGAAGGGAAACAGGATAGATGAGGATGATATTTTCTAATGCAGCAGAATTTCAAAATTTCTGTTCTTTGGGAAGAAGCCAAAAGATCTGTTACCTTGTATATATTGTACTGAACAGTAATAAATTGTCTCTAAGAAACTGAGTACAAGTGGCCTGCAATGTGTGGGAGTTTTTAGCTCCATCACTGTCAAGACTTTTAAATCCTATGGGCCTGTATTCATGGCTTAATGTTGTGCAATAAGTTTGTTGAAAAAAGTGTTTTTTTACCTGCTCAGTGTTCTCTGTTGCTTCAGTTGTAGGACACTGACCTGAAGTCCTCTTTATCCTGGTTAGTGAAAGAAATGTACATAAATACGGTCTTTCAGATAAGAAATTGAATGTTATTGATCTGCAACAGAGCACAGTGTTGCTCACCTTATCCAAAAGATGACCACTAGAGATACTAGAGGTATAATAACCAGGAGAGCAGCACGGACTTCTATAACAGCTGCTGATATGTGTTTCTTGCTGATACTTCGGACTGTTAGAGTCTTCTCTCTGGATTTTTTGCCGGGTTTGACAGCACATGAGTAGTTTCCGGCATGCTGACTGCTGACTGGGTCCAGAACCAGGTATTTGTTTTGGTCTTGTGGCACGATCAGAGGTCGACTATTCAAGTACCACATGTAGGTCATGTTAACAGAAAGAGGACAGCTAGTGATGCAAGTCAGTGTGACTGTCTGGCCCTCTGTCACCACTGCAGGGTGCACCCTCACTCTCACACCTGAAAGATGTTTAGATGGGTCAGTAAATGAAAAAAAAAACTATCCACAAGTTCTCAAATAATATAACAACTCCTAATATCTGTATGGCAAGATCACCTTTAAGGTAAAAAAAAAGAATTCAATGACATCTGCTGGGAATGTCCTTAGGAGAAATTCAAAAAGCATTAATACCAACGGACAGCAGCTCTGTGCCTTCTGCAGTTTTACCTCTGAAACCTGATCCAGCCTCAAAATGTTGGACTCATGTTCCTGAAAAGTCCATGAGTTTGAGTGAAGCTGAACCAAAGGCTAAAAATAAACATTTCAATTCATGAGAGATTTTTGTTCCTCTTTTTTAGACAAACTTGGTCAAAGACACTGTGGTAACATCCGTACAGTTACAGAGTTATTTTATTTATAATACAGAATTACCTGTGACAACCAGAGTCACTCCAGGAAAATAAAGCATTTTCGATGTATTTGTCAGGGTTCTGAATATGTATTCGCCAGAGTCATTCTTCTTCAGGTTTATGATTCTCAGCATGTGGTGATTCTTCCTGTTTTCATGATACTCCATACGACCCTTAGCTGTGATCAGCTCTTCAGTATCCTTCTCACCATTTATCTTTATCTTATACCAATATTTGTACTTGAGCGGCTGCTCGTAGGGATGTGAGTATTCGCTTGAAATGTTCACTGAAGAGCCTTGTAGAGCACAGATTCTCCTGATGGCATAATTCACAGTCCAACAGCTCTCACCCTCAAGACCTGAAATACAGAAAATATAGCAAGTTTTAGGAAAAATGTTGAGACTTTTTTTTAATGGAAATTAACATTGAATTCAGTGCTCTTTACCTATCTATGACTATTCATTGAAATGCCACAATTGTAAGTCTTGTGGACTGAATTCCTTCATGCGATTGTTTCTCTGAAATTGAAAAATAGAAAACTAATAAATAGATCAAGATTTTGTTATTTAGTTTTTTTTACTGGACCGCCTTAGAAATGTGAATGTCCATTACTGACTGTGTGATACACCATTGGTCAGCCGAATGTCGTTTGACTGAGTGATAAGATTACATGATTGGTCGGCAGAATGTTGGAGTTTCCCCATTGGCCGTTGCTCTTTGGAAATGCATTGGCACTAACAGTTTCTATTACATCATCAGGGGGTGTTCACAGGTAGTGTTGCCAGCTTTGTGCCTTTGTTCCTACATTTACCAACTTTTCAGACCCCGTTAGCAACTTTTTTTTTCATGAAAGCACCCAGCAACAAAACTAGTGACTTTTTGGACATACATTATCTATTTTCTGTAGAGCAGAGTCACATGTATTGCACTGCGAATGGCTTGAAAGTGACTGCTGATTAACATGTAGTCTCAATAGGACACATTTCAAAGATTATTTTATATTTGTTCATGTTGTCTGACAACAGAAGCGGAAAAACATGTAATGAGAACAGCTTGATTGGGAATTTAGCTGTACTAAAATACTGTTAATGTGAGCACAGAGAGTAGGTGAGAACTAAGCAGATAAAGGGCTGGAACGTGCCTACACCAGGCAGAATGCAAATACCACACAATGACGTCTTGTATATGATAATCAGAATATTACGTCATCCAGCAACAACATTTAGTGAGTTCTCGAGCTGGGTTTAACTTCTCTCCATTGACAATAGTTGTTTACAGCAGTTCCACATCAGCTTACATCTATGTCCTCAATTTCACATATTGACCATAAACAGTCCAGCCATATACCATGTTTTGATCCAGTCTTGATATTTGTGGAATTCTTCATTTCTCTACTGTGAACATATGCAGTTAATCAGCTGCAGCTACATGTACCAACGCAAATTCAAAGTCATAGGAAAATGTTTTAAGGCTGTTTCTTTCAAATAGTTACATTTCCTGTATCCAGATTTGTCCAATTTGTAGTTTTATGACTAGTTTTACAGGGAGGTCTATCTCCTGTTTTCCCTGATGGACTCTGATGACTGATTTGACATGCTCGCACTCTACAGGGACATCTAGTGGCCACAAGTCGACAATACAGTTTATTTAGTGCTTTCATGGCCTATTCTGTTGACTTGAATAATTAAACATGCAAATACATGATCAGATCATTCAGTTTGCACCTCAGGGCAACTGCAATAAACAAGACTCACTTATTTTACCCACTCCAATGATGCTGTGTCATTACTCAGATCATCATATTTCTTAGTTCATGTGTTTAAACAGACCATAGTCTGTAAATTGGTCCATACTCACAGACTTCAGGAGACAGCAGATCCTCAAAGCCTTCCACAGCACAGGAGTAGCTGTCAGCTGAGCCAGAAACTGAAAACTGTTGTCCCTTAGCGTTTTTGTACAGTTGTCTGTTCTGGTACCACATATAGGCAGTTTGAGGGTCAGTCAGTGGACAGCTGGTGTTACAGGTCAGGGTATGCTGTGACATAGAACTCCTCTGAAGACGTACTTCTGTTGGAAGATGATGAATACACTTTTAATGTGTGCTGTGTTACATTTAGTAAACAAGTATCATCAAGTGTTGAATATAAACTCTCAAAGTGTGATTTGTACAGTTGAATAAGTTGCTGAATAAGTATAAGTGAGAAAACAAAACACAAATATCGACAGTGTAAACACAAAATAAATAATGGATTGTACAAAAGATCTCTATTTTAAAAAATGGATCAGAGCTCTGAGGGTGGGAGGTTTGTAAATGTTTGTGTAACTTAACCTGTGGGATATGTGAGGGAGCAGGACTCATTCACTGATGTCTGCTTGTAAGAACACATTCTCCCTTGAGCGTAGGTCACATTAATGCAGGCTGGTGTGACAGAATCTGAACAAAGAGAAATTAGATTTAGTTTTTTTTATTAGTGAACAAGTTCCTCAATCATTCCTTGTTTTTTGAAAGTGTAACATGTTAAACCACACACTTATAAACATCATATATTTAGTGGAAAGGTTTACACAACAGACCATTTTAATGGAGTTGAAATGGGCTAGCATGTTAGAAGGAATTTTTTTTTAATTGAATTAAAAAATATATATTCCTGCACCTACACTTATATTTTTAAATTCATATCAGAAGTTACAGTATGTTTTACAGTTCAGGTTGTGTAACATGATAAGGAACTAAAATGTGTGACTCACCCACAGAGACTTCAGGGGCTCTGTGTTCCTCGTAGCCTTTGATAGCACAGGAGTATCTGACTGCTTCTTCACTGCTGACCAGCTCTTGGTACCAGGGAGACCAGTCCTGATAGAAAAACTTTCTGTTCTTGTACCAGATGTAGCCTGCAGGGTTTTTAGTCTGAACACAGCTGGTGCTACACATCAGTGTCACTGACGTTTCCTCTGTGGTAGGAATCACCTTTACCTGCAAATCTGCGATAATGGTGAAAATACAGTAGATAACACAGGCATTCACATATACATGTCATTTTAATGCAAAAAGAAGTGACAGCCACTGTACCTGCAAGTTGGAGGTTGATTTTATTTAGCCAGCAGTTATTTGAGTTGTTTTTTGTATTCTCACTGCAGCAGTAAAACTTTGCATCGCCCTCTCTCAGATCTTTGATTGTTAGAGTGGGTTGATTTTTGTCAGACATGTTGTATGTTACACGATGTCCATCTACAGAGATCTCGGTCATGACATACTTGCTGCCATCCTTGTATGTGTACCATTTGTTGCTTGAAGTGGGATTTCCAGCTGAGCAGCGCAGATCAACTGATGAACCTTTTACGGCACAGATGCTTTTTGCTTGTCCATGAACCCCTTGAACAGAAGTTTTTATTTGCAAACATCTGGACAGATTCATAGTATTTTAAGAGCTGATGTAACAGGTCATAATCTTGAGAGTTAAACCGTAACACATTTTCAATTCAGTTAAACTTTAGTAGTAGTTTGTTCAGCTTTTTTTTCAATTTAACTCACCCCAGTAAAACAATTTTTTAATACTTTACAGTTAATGAGTGTATGATTAAAAGGATAAAGAAGAAATCATACCTGAGATGTAGAGGATGAAACTCATAAGCACACATCCAGCTCCTGCCAACAACATGGCTGTTGTGGTCCTTCAGTTTCCAGTAAAAACGTTGATTGTATAACGGTATATGTATCAGTTTTATAACAAATGCTGCGTTCATAAAAACTCATTCAAAAAATAAAAAATGTAACCCAGTGATTTAAATTCAACAACAGTTCACTCACAGTCCAAAGACTGGAGATGATCATTTGTCTGGGAGTGCAGCTTGCATGGAGCTCTTATGTGGTAACTTCACTTCCTTTCACAAGAAACGACGAACTGAGTATTAATAGGAAACCACAAGTGAGGCTCATGTTTCTATCATTTTAATCTTTGAAAAAATGTCTTTTGAGTGCATTGACTTTTCATGAAACATGCAAAAACAATGATACAATCAGCTGTATCTGTTGTCAGAGTGAGAGTCTTGGAAAGTGAAGCAATCATGAGAAAGTTTTTATCTGGTTGGTTTATGGTTTGAAACAAACAAACTCATGAAACTGAATTCCATTCTCAGGTGGTTGTTTCACGACTTAGATGTGATATGGTTTAAACCCATGTGGGTTGAAAGAAGGCTGTATTCAAAATCATTATCTGATTACTGTTTACTATTTAGTGCAATTATTTAGTGTGAAATTTATACACAATGTAGTGCCTTCAAAGTTTCCCACAATAGAATGAAAACTGTTTTCCATTTACAACCCCACAATCCAATGAGTCACGTTTTATAACTGTGTCTCTAATCTCAATTTACTGCTTAGTACATTTTAAGACTTTTTAAAGATGTGCAGACACCCTGCCCACTGTAGCAAGTGTTAGAAGTCACTGACGAGAGAGTGCGTCTGTTTTTTAGCTACACATCATCATTATACTCTTTTAAAATATTCTTTTTGGAAAGTGAAGCCATCAGAAGAAAGTCTTATCTGGTTGGTTTATGGTTTGAAAAAAACAAACTCTTGAAACTGAATTCCATTCTCAGTTGGTTGTTTCACGACTTATTTGTGAAATGTGGCTTCAACCCATGTGGGTCGAAAGAAAACGAAGACAAAAATTCCCACGACAGAACGAAAACTTTTTTTTCTTTAAAAATCCTTGTGTCCCAAACCTCAACTTACTGCTTCACTTTAGTGTTATTGTTATATTATTTAACTATAGTTAATTGTATCACAGTATTTGACAAACCGTCAGCTTGTCAGTTCATGCAGACATGAAGCCAAAAGCAAACTGTCTCCCTCTTTAAGTCATTATTACAAAAAGGGAAAAGATGTATGTACTGTTTTGTTTCGACGGGTAAAAACAATCACTCCTTGTATCACTGTCTCTTTCTTAAACACTCACCAAGCACTTTCTTTGGAACACCATACTATCACTGGAGCAGGCCTCCCTTTGCTCTCAGAACAGTCCCAGTTCTTCGTGGCATGGATTCCACAAGATGTTGGAAACGTTCTTTTGTGGTTCTGCTCCGTGTTGACATGATTGCATCACATCATTTCTGCAGATTTGTCAGCTGCACATTTATGTTGTGAATCTCCCGTCCTACCGCAGTCTAAAGGTTTTCTATTGGTTTGCGAGGCGTTTGGAATACAGTCAACAATAAAAAAACAGTAGTTGGAAGTAGTTAATAGAAGATGGTAAACTGTGGCCATAAAGAATATTGTTGCTGACCATCAGCAACAATATTCAGGTAGGCTGTCACAGAGGGTGCCAAGAAAATATTCCCCACACCATAACACCACCGCTGCCGCCAGTCTGGACTGTTGCATGCTATTGCTGCCAAATTCTGACCTGACTATCTGTATCTCAGCAGAAATCCAGACTCATCAGACTAGGCTGCGTTTTTCCAGTCTTCAGCTGGAACTGTTTTTGGTAAGCCTGTGCCTGCAGCCTCAGATCTCTGTTCTTGGCTGGCAGGGGTAGAACCTGATATAGACTTTGTGGTCCACCCACCTCAAGGTTCGATGTGACCCGAGCATCCTGACCTGTAACTGCATGATTTTATGCATTGCACTGCTTCCACTTGATTGGCTGATTGGATAAATGCATGAATAGGCAGGTGCACAGGTGTTCCTAATGAAGCACTCGGTGAGTGTATTAGGTTCAACAATCTTAAAAAGTATTGAAATTGCAATATGGCCAAGTGCAATATCCAAATTGCAAGAGCTGTAATGTTTAAATGCAAATGTGTCACAGCGTACCATTAGAAATGAAGCATTGAAATCATATATTACTTATGTAAGGGGACATGCACGTTTAGTGCAGACCACTGCAAAAGTCACATAATCATAATTTTTTAATCATTTTCAGTGAAAATAAAATACAAAAATGACCATGACCATTAAAATGGTGACTATTATATCCGTCAAAATAATTGTAATGATTTTTTTTATTGTTCAGCTTTCGAGTGTATATACAGACAAAACGATGACATGTATACATCTGCTCTCATAAAACATCCAGTAAGAGCACTGACTCCTCATTCTGCTCTTTATTAATGTGTGTATGTCCTTCAGAGGGCGCCATCATTGCAGCACACAGTCTCTGCAGGAGATTGTGCAGTCAGTGAGACGAATTCAGAGTCCAATGCCTCTTAGGCATTTGGTAATCTTTTCTCAACAGTTGTGTATTCAGTAGTAATGTCCGCTGTTTTCTGTTTAGCTAGTATGATGCAGTTTATGCCAAATGTGTTTTAAGACCAGAGATCTCTCCTCTGGAGCCCAGTTAATCCCTCTGTTCTCAGTTTATCAGAGGGGGAAAATTCAACAGATAATATGAGAAAATGCTCGATACAGTGTGTGTGTGTATGCATGTGTGAGACGGTTAATAGTTAACAGCCAGCTGCACAGAACTGCCCGGTGCCCAGCCATAACATAATGAAGAAACGAGAAGGCCATGGTCTTTGTGTATGTGTGTGTGGGTGTGTGAGCTATGTGGAGATGGAGCACTTAGTTAAGTGCCTATGAGCCATTTTATACTCCATTATAAATGTTGTGTAGAAGACAATAATTACATCCATATTAATCACCTTTATTTTACTGACATCATGTCAGTGACACTTATGTATGGAAAACACTATAAAACAATGAGGCCCAGTGAAATGGATCACACTCCTTCATGCAGCTCAGCAGCTGAAAAGTTGAACTGTCATGTATGAGCAGCCAGCCACTATAGGCCTGCTACTGTTTTGACATGACTCAAGTGTGTTAACCCTGGTTAGTCCAGTATAACCCATTAGCATGCTCTAACCAAGCAGATGTGGGACAGACAGCAAAGGGTGACTGATTGTTCTCATGCTGCTCAGTGTGAGAAGACCAGACTGTATCAACCTGAGACCAAGAGATGCTTTGCCTGCATCTTGCTCTAATTGTACATCACACTTTATTTGGACAGTCTATTTCTATTAATCAGCTTTCTATCAAGTGAGTAAGAAGTCCACTAAGTTCAATATGACTGGCAATAATGTGTGTGGGTTAAAGTTAATCTTACTCGGGGTTAAGCCTAATGCAGTTCTTTAGTGGTTCTTTGTTTAGCACAAGCATGTTGCTGTTCTCTGGGTAATAATGAATGAAAATGAATGAAATGTGTTCACTGGATTCACTTTCTGCGCCTAACTGGTGAGAAGAGACTGAGAGAAATTTCATTATTATAGCAGAAAATAGGTAAGGACACACAACTTTAGTATTGTATCTATTATCTTGAGATGTTCATATTTATTATTATAGCTACCAGTGGAGTTTTCTTGTGATCATTATTAAGTTGGGCCTAAACCTGTATTACATGGCTTTTATGGCCACCAGGAGGCAGTGGAAACAAATTGTGAACACAAAAACTGTTAGCAAACAGTTGCTTATTTACACATCCAGCTGTTATGGATCGATAGTTTTATTCTTTTCTAGTCATGTTTCTGGCCATTTGGCAGATGTAAGTCCAACATTCACTCTTTCAGCTCTGTTTTTGGTCTCTGCAAAACCCCCAAGGGAAATGTCTTCCTCTTAGCTGCTGAATGCTTCACTGTGCTCACCTGCTAGTCTCTAAGTGTGTCTGTCTGCTGTTTGATGCTGAGCAGAGCTATTACACTGAAAACAGTAAACAGAAAAAACAGTAATTTATTGGGCAGACAGACATATAATGAGCTGAAAGCTCCTATAAAGCTCCATAAAGCCAAGTGGAGCTGCAGATATGAGTGATAATTCATAGCGACAAATTGTTTGACATTGTCATTTGATACATTGTTATTGCAAAAATATGAGTTACAGACACTGTAACCACTTCCTGATACATTATGATGTTTGTTTCATGTCACTGGTTGAATCAGAATTTCATGAAAGAAAATGAAAATGCATTCTATATTTACATACCTTTTGTTAGAACAATTAAAAACAAGTATCAAGGCAAATTTCTTCAATCAGCAAAATTTTGATGTAGATTATCCATTTACATATTTCTTAATTGTTGCTAACATAAACACTAGATTTTACGGAAGCAGCATTTTCATTTGTCAAACTCTTGAAAATGAATAACATTAATACTAATGTTATTAACAAAAACTGTATCATATTTAAGTGCGTCAGCGCTAGGACCCAGGTATTGTGCATGCTGCCCGTCCTGGCCTTACAGCAAGTGAGCATGTTGAAAAAGAACATGAAATTGAAATAG